GCTTGGCAGCAGGTGACGATGGATTTCGTCACGGGGTTACCAGCCGGCGCGAGTGGGAATGACGCGATCCTGGTCGTCGTCGATCGACTAACGAAGATGGCTCATTTCGCAGCATGCAGGAAATCAATCACAGCCGAGGAAACCGCCCGACTCTTCATCACCACCGTCGTTCGACTGCACGGGATACCCGCATCGATCATCAGCGACAAGGACACGAAATTTACAAGCAACTTTTGGCGGAACCTGTGGCAGCAGTTCGGCACACGCTTACAGTTCAGTTCATCCTATCACCCCGAAACCGACGGACAGACGGAACGGACAAATCAGACCATGGAGCAGCTGATTCGAGCCACGTGCGACGATCCGAATACGTGGGAACAGCAGCTGCCACTCATCGAGTTCGCATACAATAACGCACCATCAGCCACGACGCAACAGTCGCCGTTTTACTTGAATTACGGACAGGACCCAACAGTACCCATGACACCGAATCCCGACAACCCCGTCCCACGAGCACAACAGTTCGCCGAGATTCTGCAAGCAGCACGGACCAGGGCAGCAGAAGCAATCAAAAAATCAAACATCATCGCTAAACGCAACGCCGATCGCCATCGCAGACCCGTTACTTATCAGCCCGACGACCTCGTTTTACTCGACACTCAGAACCTCCGCCTGCCCATCACTCCAAAACTCCGCCCGCGATACTGTGGGCCATTTCGAATCAGTCACATGGTCACGCCAGTCATCGCGCACCTCCTCCTCCCTGCTGACTGGTACGTCAGCCCCTCGTTCCACATCAGCTTACTTCGCCCTTACGTGCCATCCACCAGCCAACTCCCACGACATCGACCCACCAGCATGACACGACCACCAACCGAACCAGTCATCACCCCCGACAAGATCCTGAGCCACAGAGTTCGCGACCCTCGAGGAGCCCGAAAAGTGGAGTTCCTGATCCGCTGGAAAGATCGTACCCCCACCGAGGACAATTGGGTTCCCCTGGAGAAAGTTGAAACTCACCCCGTCGTCACCGACTACTTGCGTAGCCGCAATTTCCGAGACATCCACGCCCTTTCATAAGGAGGACCTCCTTAGGAGGGGGGTGACAAAATTAGAAGAAAGAAAAGAGGATTGAACTAGCAAGAATGAGGATACAAATAGCAAACCCTAGAAGGGTTGTACTGGCTATAGAGCACCCCACTACAGGCTAGAACATAAGATAATATTCTGACACACCCCCATAGCCAAAGTGGGGTGTAATCAGCAGAGCAGGCAAAGCAGTACAAGCTCAGGGTGGATCACAATGTCACCACACATTCTGAGCACAAGTTCAAGAAGAAATAGTTTAGAGTTCACAATTATGAGCAAAGCTAGTGGTAGTCACAACGGGCAAGTGAGGAGGAGGAGAGAGAGTGAGAGGAGAGGAGATAGAAGGCGGCGGCTGAAGCTGCAGACACACGGGCAACAGGAGTGGCGAGCACAGTGGCTACCGGACTAAGCGCCCGGACTACAGGAGCAAGAGGCCCCGCGGCTTAAGCAGCGGCAGACGGGCAACGGACCCACAGGCGACTGGCGCAGCGACAAGCTCACTGGGCTACCGGGACAACGCCCCGGACTACAGGTGCTGCGGACAACAAGCTGGCAGCCTCCACTCAACCTCCCGCAGACAGTCCCACCCCCCTGATACACACCCACTGCTACACCGCTAGCTCCACTCCCACGCACCCCCCTTAAACCCTAAACCCAGTCTCCCACACATCCACCCCCCTCAGCGACAACTGCAGCAGTGGGAGACGAAGGAGGAGGAGGAGCAAAGGGAGGAATGCACACCGGCCACCCCCATACCCGCCACCCCACAGCTCGCCCCTCCCGTCGTCTGTCGAGGCGACCTGAGGGGGCCGCGACGAGTAGGGCGACGGGCCGCGAAGGAAAGCGGCGGGGCCGCGATGATGGGGCGGCGGGGCCGCGACAGGTCGGTGGCGGGGCCGCGACAGAAGGTGGCGCGGCCGCGACCGGAGGTGGCGGGGCCGCGACAGAAGGTGGCGCGGCCGCGACCGGAGGTGGCGGGGCCGCGATAGGTCGGTGGCGGGGCCGCGATGGTGGGGCGGCGGGGCCGCGACAGGTCGGTGGCGGGGCCGCGATGGTGGGGCGGCGGGGCCGCGACGGGTCCCCGTCGCCCGTCGCGGCGCCTCCAGAGGGCGACGCGGCGAACGGCGGGGCAGAAGCCCGCCGCGCGCCTCGGGGCGCACAGCGGGTAGAGAACCGCCGCGCGCCTCGGGGCGCACGGCGGGCAGAAAACCGCCGCGCACCTCGGGGCGCACGGCGGGAAGAAAAATGGTAGCGGAAGCGTGGAGGTGGTAACCCACCCACAGGATCGATCCAAGGGGATCGACCTGCTCTGATAGCATGACAAAATTAGAAGAAAGAAAAGAGGATTGAACTAGCAAGAATGAGGATACAAATAGCAAACCCTAGAAGGGTTGTACTTGCTATAGAGCACCCCACTACAGGCTAGAACATAAGATAATATTCTGACAGGGGGGTAGTGTAAGGAAATTCCCTTTTCCTTACTTCGCGTCCCTGCTCAACGCGTACATCACTGTAGCACCTCAGTCAGCACCGTTACCACTCGCGACCATCGCATCATTCATCATCCCGCCCTTTTCGCACATCGCATCCTGACCTCACGGCTCGGCTGGTAACCCGCGCTCCGGGCCTACGCTTCGACACTTTCCCAACCTCAGTCCCAGGCTCGTCGCGCGACCATTACCGTTACCACTATAGTTTCGCTATATAATGTTCGCTCATGCCTTCGCTCATTTGTCTTCTTGCTTCGATAGTGCAATTCTCGTTCGTTCACTCAATTGCACTCGTAACAGCCGGCGACATCACATCCCACATGTGTACGGCAACTTCTTTGATATGGGGAATTTCACGAAAGCATCATCGAGATTGTTTGTCACACGCTTAGTTGCTCACAATTGTGGGTGGGATCTGCAGATGCTTCTCAGTTGGAAGTCATGCCTACATCGTGAAGCTTTTCGGTTCTCGGCTTGTGAGAGTCTGTTCGATTAGGGAATCTCGCGTTGCCGCTGGTTCCGCTGTGCTCAACTGCTGCATGACCCCCAACGGATCACCGTGCGGGATTATTAATGCTTTTAAAGCACTCGTTTCGAAGCGTACACTCTGGCGTGAAGAGCGCGTGATTTACGGCGCCGCGACGCCATGAATCAGTATCACATCTACGACCAGATCGGCAAGGGACGCCACTCGGTAAGCTCGCGTTGCTAGCACCTTGTCGTAACTTCACCTCAGCCCCCTCCGACGAAACACCGGTGCGCTCCGATCTATGATCCCAAGCATGTCATATCGCGCGGCGAACATCCGTAATTAACCGCACGTGGGTGATGTTAGGGTGGTTCGCCACTGCCCTAGTGCCTACCGACCTACGCACTTCACCTAGGGATGGTAGCACGACACTATGAACGGTGGGAAATGTCGACCTAATGAGGAGAACCGACAGCTATAACGGTGGGGCTGCATGCTAAGGAGCTAAGGAGGGAAGGCGAGAAGAAAGCGGGAAAAACGGAATGGTGGGAAAGTGGGTTTCAGGAAATGTCGAGAAGACATTTCCGTAACCTAAAATGTCCAACCGCAACCGAACCGTGTTCGGTGCGAATGAGACAACCATGTTTCGGTTCCGGTGTCGGTTACCGAAATCGGTTCCGCATGCGACTCGGGCTGAAACGCGGATGACGCGTTACGCGAGGTGCACATCACATTTCGAAATGCCTAAATGTGTTTGTTTTCAATCAGTTCTTTGTACTTCTCTGTTTTGAGTGAAATCAGTCCTGAAAAACCAGAAATTCTTTCCAAGCATTTACTACCTTCAACGCTAGCCGGAGGCTATACCAAAACTAAGAGCTGGTATCAGAGCTTGGTTATCGTCGCGACAAGCCTTATTTTAAAAGCGTTGGAGGAGTTATAATTTTTAGAGTAATTAGAGAGGACGGAAATTCAACGACATGGGGAATGGAAATGGAGAGGTCAGTTCAGGGTCTTCCGTGAACACTGGGAGTGCGCAGCTGCAGAGTCTGCTTGATGCCCTTGCTAAGGGGCAAATCGTGGCCAAACCGACAATTGGCCTAAGTGAAGCTCAACGCTTCAATGGAGAGAACTACGGCACATGGCGGCTGAAGTTCATGCGACGCGCCCGGGAGGTAGATTTGTGGTATTTCTACAACCCAGAGGCAGCGACGGAGGAAGATGGACCTGCACCTGCAACCGCACAAGAGAAAAAAGCGTTCAAGAAAAGAAGCCAACAAGCTTTCTTTCAACTGTGCCATTCGGTCTCGGATTCAATCGCAGCACGACTCGACCCGTTCTCTGAGGAGGACAACGCAGCAGAGAAGGCGTGGGCGTACATGGAACAAGTGTACCTCGGGAAAAACGAGGCAAAGATGACAGCAGTGAGGACGAAACTCATATTGCTGGCCATGGAACCTTCCGAGACGGTAGTGGACTACGTGGGCCGTGCTAAAGGCTACAACGACGACCTGACAGCTATGGGAGTGCCCGAATCGGAGAAGCAAATGATGAGCTACATCATTGGCGGCCTACCAAAATCATGGGCAGCAGAGAAGCGGATGCTGGCCTGCAGACGCCCGACGGACATGACGGACCTGGTGGAGTCCCTTCAAGACGTTGCGCTTATACGTGCTGAGGAAGAGCGAAGGGAGGCGCTGCCGGAAAATTTCAGCAACGACAAACCTGCCATGTTGAACGCAACCGGGGCAGGAAAATCATTTGGAAATTGCTTCCACTGTGGGAAGAAAGGGCACAAGGCTGTCGAGTGTTACTCCAACCCAAGAAGCAAGAATTTCATAGGAAAGGGAGCAGGAGCAACCGGAGAAGGACAGAGGCCGAGAGGTGGATTTGCTGGAAACTGCAACCACTGCGGGAAATTTGGTCATAAGGCAATCGACTGCTACAGCAACCCGATGAGCAAGAGCTTCAAGGGAGGGCAGCAGCAGCAAAAGAATCACGTACCTGCCAAGATCAACGCCACCGAAGCGGAAACCAGCGACGACGACGTCATCCTCGGGGGAGCCCACAAGGCCAATGTTGCAAGAGCTTCGGGAGCATGCCTGCTTGCGAAGGGCCTTAAGGGGAAGGAGTGGTACATGGACAGCGGTTGTACCCAACACATGACGAACCAGAAGGAGTGGCTGAGAAATTTCAGAGCATCACCGATACCGTATGTGCTGTTGGGAGACGAGGGGAAACTTCCTGTGAAAGGGGAAGGAGACCTAGTGCTGCAAAGTGCTTATGGTGAGGTGAAGCTGGACAACGTGCTGCTAGTGGACAAGCTCACGCTCAACCTCATTAGTCAATCGCAGCTGGATAGTGGTGGATGCAAAACTTTCAGCGACAAGGGGAGCATATGGGTCTTTGGAGCGGATTGGAAGGTAATAGCGGAGGGATCACGCAAGCAAGGGCTATATGAGATGAAGCTGCACGAGAAACAGAGTGGGGACAAGGTCACGTACCTGGCTGAACCGGAAGCGGGTAAGGTGGCACGAGATGAGCTCCGCACCAAGTTCGAAAGGGTGCCGATCAAGGAGTTGCAGCAGCAGGCGCTTCCTATGGCAGCAGCAGTGAGCACGGTGGACGTCAACCTGCTGCATAGGAGGATGGGGCACGCTGGTCATTATCGAATCAAGGAGCTGATCAAGAAGAACATGGCAGCGGGAGTGAAGGTACCTGAGGGTGGAGAGGAAAATCTAAAGTGCAGCACATGCGTGGAGGCAAAGGCGACAAAGGCACTACATCCCAAGCATGGAGTCCGTGAGCCATACAAGACGATGGCCATTGTGGCAGCCGACGTATGTGGACCGATGCGGGTGGCTTCACGACATGGCAGCAAGTATTTCGTTACCTTCACCGACCTTGGCACACGACACACGTGGGTGACTGAGATCAAGAACAAGTCGGAAGTCCTCACGAGCTTTCTTGATTGGCAAACGGAAGCGGAAAGGCAAAGCGGCAAGAAGCTGAAGGTGTTACGCACGGACAACGGGGGAGAATTCGTCAACGCCGAGTTCAACGCGTACCTGAAGTCAAAGGGCATACGAAGACAGCTCACGGTCCCGTACACACCTCAACACAATAGCATTGCGAAGCAAGTGAACCGATCACTGCTGGAGGGTGTGAGGAGCTTGCTCGCGGATAGCAACCTGCCTCTTCACTACTGGGGAGATGCGCTAGGCATGGCATCTTGGCTGAAAAACCGTTTACCGACAAAGGGACTAGCGGCGAATATTACCCCTCACGAAGCGTTCTACAAGAGGAAGCCGAATCTGGAGTTCTTACGTGTTTGGGGCTGCATGGTGCAGTACCGTGAGGCGACGGGACCCGACCATAAGCTTCTCCCAAGGACCAAGTGGGGGATTCACTTGGGAATCTGCCCGGAGAGCAAAGGGTGGGTGATACGCGATGTGGAGACCGGAAAAGTCACGGCGACCAGAGATGTTACCTTCTACGAGCAAGACACCTACTTGGAGTGGAAGGGACGGAAACAAGGAGCTGTTGCAAAGGAAGTGGCAGCAGCACCAACTCCACTGGAGGAGATGATAGATGGGAGTGAGAAGGAGGGGATAGGGGCAGCCAATGGAAGCGGTGACAATGACGACTACGAAGACCACACTACACCGGGCTTCGACTGGGTATGGGAGGTGCAGGAGTTGTCCTCACCTTCAACTGCCGTGGAAGAGGGTGAAGAATAAAATGATAAGGGAGAAGAAGCAGGTGACAACGCAACGAATGAAGCCGGTGAGGAAGAAGCTGAAATTTCAGATGTGGAAGAGAGTGTGGCTGAATCTGCCAGCACGGGGTACTCCGACCCATGGCGCATCATTGACACGGGGGACAATGAAAAGGCGGCAGTAGAGATTGAAGACCTACTTTCGGACGGTGCGATCGTCATTGGAAGGGAGATTGAAGGAGATTCCGTGCAACAAGGAGCGGATGATAATGCAGCAGCAGAGAAAAGTGGAGCTGAAAATGAGAATCAGGAGATGGGGAAAGGGAAACGAGTCAAGAAACCCAATCCCAAGTATGCCCAAATGCTTCTGACCTGCTGCAAGGACATTCATACCCACCTCCTCCTTACCACTACGGCAACGGCACTTCTATCAAAGGGGAAGGTGGAAAGCTACAAGCTGTCCACCGAGCCTCTCACTATTGAAGAGGCACTGTCCGGACCGAACAAGGAGCAATGGAGGGCTGCAATCCAGGAAGAACTTGATACCTTGGCTGAAAGGGGGACATGGGAACTTGTGAACATGCCCGAAGGGAGGAAAGCAGTGGGAGTGCGCTGGATTTTCAAGATCAAAACGGGAGACATGGGACAACTTGAACGCTTCAAGGCACGTCTTGTGGCTAAAGGCTACACTCAAGTGGAAGGAGAGGACTACGACCAACTCTACGCACACGTTAGCAAGTTAACAACGGCAAGTGAGAAAATTGAAACGAGAATGAATTAACTATGAATGAACTGAGTACAAGTACTAACCCTAATTGGGTTGTACCCCTTATGGGCTACCCCACTATGGCCTACACAATAAGCACAAGCTATATGTTCTAACACACCCCCATACGCACAATGGGGGAGAACAAGGGGTCACAAGACTAGTCAAGCAAAGCAAAGCAAAGCAAGCTCAGGGTGGATCACAAAGTCACCACACATTCTGAGCACAAGTTCAAGGCCACAAGGCCAGTTCACATGCAGGAGTACATATATATAAAGGACAAGACAAGCAAGAGCAAGTGTATATATATGCAACAGTACAAGCAAGGTTAAGAGGTGAGCAAGTGAGGCAAGACAGGCACAAGACCCAGCTGCGTGCAGAAGCGTTGATGATCACAAGGCGCAAGTGCCTTGGTGAAGACATCAGCAGTGTTGGCCTCAGAGGCCACGTACGCAAGCCGCAACTGACCACGCTGCTGTAGCTCACGAGCAAGGAAGTAGCGAAGAGCAATGTGCTTTGTTCTGTGCTCCAGTCTCTGCTCTCGACACAAGGCCAGCATGGCCTTGTTGTCTGCGTACAGGACTGGAGGAGAACGAGGCGACTCTCCAAGGTCGGTCAGCAGGTAGGTGAGCCAGCGAAGCTCCTGTGCAGCCATGGCCCCGGCGTAGATCTCAGCCTCACAACTGGAGCCGAGAACAGAAGACTAGCGAGTAGCCCGCCACGAAACAGAGCCGGAACCAAGGCTGAAGGTGTAACTGTGTGACGACCGCTGCGTAGCCTGATCGTCAGCCCAAGAAGCGTCTGCGTGCCCAGTGAGGACCACTGGACTCCGCCCTCCAAGCACTAGCCCCATGCCCGACGTACTGCACAAGTAGCGCAACACCCTCTTCGCTGCAGCCATGTGCGATGGTCGGTGTCTCCCAGGAGCAACATAGCGTGCGAGAATGCTAAGAGGGTATGCAAGGTCAGGTCGTGTGCAGATCATCAGGTATATAAGGCAGACAACAAGCTCTGGATACGGGCCACTCGACTCTACGGACTCATCCGAAGGCAGAGCTGAGAGCGAGTGGCGAGTAGGCAGAGGAGTGGCCTGAGGCGAGGAGTACGTGAAGCCGAAGCGCTGAAGGACCTGCTGCACCATGTGTGACTGAGTCAGGGTAATGGTGCGGCGTGCTCTGTCCCGGGTGATATGCAAGCCAAGGTAGCTGCGCAGTTCACCTAGGTCTGTGCACGTGTATCTCTTCTGCAGCTCGGACTTCACATAGGCGAGTCCAACAGTGTCAGCTGTGGCAAAGACCAAGTCGTCGACGAACACGAGGATGTAGAACGGCAGCAGAGAAGTGTCGGTGCGCTGAAACAGCGACGGGTCAGCAGTAGAAGGAGCAAACCCAAGAGCCGCAAGCGTAGTCCTCAGTGTGTCGTGCCACTCACGTGGCGCCTGGCGGAGACCGTAGACTTGACGCCGAAGACTCCACTGGGTACCAGGAGGGAAAGACCTAGTGAAGCCAAGTGGTCGGCGCAGCCAGATCTCCTCGTGCAGGCTGCCCTGCAAGAAAGCAGTGCTGAAGTCGAGAGAGTGCAGCTCGTAGTCACGGTGAGCAGCAACGTGCAGCAGTACCCAAAGAGTGGTCATCTTCGGGGTGGGAGAGAAGGTCTGAAAGTAGTCAACTCCCTGCCGCTGACTGAACCCACGAGCCACGTAACGCGCCTTGAAGACAGGCGTAGAACCCGGCGGCCGCTTCACCCTGAAGATCCACATGCCACTAACGATGTTCGCCCCAGGAGGGGGGACAGCGTCAACGTAGGTGCCTGTGGACTTCCAAGAAGCCATCTCTGCATCCATAGCTACCTGCCACTGAGAAGAGTAGGGACCCTCTATCGCCTCCGCGTAAGAGCGCGGAGTCGGGATGTCAAGTGCATCCGGGTCTCCCTCAGGGGTAAGCAGTACGGACGCGAGATGAGGTGAAGCAGCAGCCAAGCAGTGGAACTCCTCCTGCCTGTCCTCAAGACGTCCGTGCCAAGGGCAACTCACCCTCGACGGACGGAGGACAGACAGACTCATACTCAGCAACAAGACTGGCAGCGTAGTCTAGACGACGGCGAGCAGCAAAGTCGACGAGCTCAGCAACTAGGGCAGACGCAGCAGTGGAGTCAAAGGAAGGGTCAGTGACAACAGTAGCAAGGAGACGCGTGACAGTAGGACTGGCAGCACCAAGAGAGTCCGACTCCGGGTCGGCAAGGTAGGAAGAGAAGACTCAGGAGGAAAAGGCAAAGGGGCACGCAGAGGAGCAGTGGACGGACGCAGAGACATCCGGTGCGTGCCAGGGACAGGAGGAGGACGCTGACGCGAACCACGACCACTAGCGCGAGCAGTACAAACAGACAACGCAGGGCGAGACGCAGGCTCACGACGCTCAGCAAGACCTCCAGTAGGACCAGTGTAGGGAGACGGAGCAGGTAGTGGGGAGGCCGGCTGTAGCCGTAACTGTGACAGGACAGGCTGTGGACACTCTAAGGGAGGAGGAGGACCAGTAGAAGGCGGGAGACCAAGAACCTGCTGAAAGAGCGGAACAAAGTACGGCCGAGGCCGCGCGGCGACTCCAGACACAGCAGGGACAGCACCAGTACCCCCAGCGGCAGCACCAACACCAGCAGCACCTCCAGCTCCAGTACCTCCAGCAGCACCAAGAGCACCCTCACCAGGACCGCCTCCAGGACCGACAGCAGTAGCCTCCGCGCCAACACCCGAAGCAGCTCCCGCTCCAGAAGTACCCGCAGACCCAGCAGCTCCAGTACTCCGAGTACGAGCACCTCCGGGACCCGCGGCACCAGCACCCACAGCAGTAGCAGAACCTCCAGTACCCGCAACACCTCCAGCTCCAGCAGCTTGCCTCCAGCGCCAGGCAAACCACTCACGCAGCTCCTGTGGAGAGAGTGGCTCCCGGCGAGACGAAGCACCCGGAGAACCGCCACGCTCAGCACCGCCAGACGCCCCACGAGCAGGCCCAGCTCCCTCAGGCTCAGCACCTCCAGGCGTAGCACCCCCAAGCTCAGTACCCCCAGGCTCAGCACCCCCAGGCGTAGCACCCCCAGGCTCAGCACCCCCAGACTCAGCACCCCAAGTCGTAGTACCCTCAGGCTCAGCACCCCCAGGCGTAGCACCCACACGCTCAGCACCCCCCGAGTGAGCACCCCCAGAGTCAGCACCCCCAGGCTCAGCACCCTCAGCAGCACCAGAGTCACCAGCGACCTCGACAGGCTTGACAGCGTCTACCTGGGACACACCTGAAGGGGCAGGACCCTGAGGGGGGAGGGGGTCTACCGGGGGGGGACCTGACACGAGGAAGAGCGGTGGCGGGGGGAGGGACGGAGTGCGGTAGGGGAAGAGACGGTAGTAGGGGACCGACTTGTCGAACGTGACGTTCTGGGAGGACAAAACATTGCGAGAGGTGGGGTGGTAGAACTGCCACCCTGGCGCGTTAGGGGGGAAACCCAGGAAGACGCAAGGAGCAGCACGAGGGGACAGCTTGTCCGCAGACAAGTCGCGAACAAACGCCCAAGATCCCCAGACACGGAACGCAGACGCATCGCCAACCTTCCCCGTCCACAGCAAGGCTGGGGAGGTCTCCGGTATGGAGACCCTGGGCTGAAGGTTGATCTGATGCGCCGCGTACCGGACCGCAAACGGCCACAGAAAATGGGGGGCAACCGCATGCATCATGGACGTACGGGCGACGTTCATGACCATGCCAATGAGGCGCTCAGCAATCCCATTTTGCAGTGGAGAGTCCAGAAGCGTGAAGGTCTGGCGGATGCCTCGTGCACGACAGTAGGCTCGCAGAAGGCTAGAGGAGAACTCTCCGCCTTTGTCAGAGTGCAGACGTAGAACAGGAAAGTCCGAGCCGAAGCTCCGCCTGAGCTGGAGACGAGCTGCGCGGATCCAGTCGATCAACACCTCAGTGACATCACCCTTGCTGCGCAAGGGGAAGACTGTGGTGTAACGCGAGTAGTCGTCAACCACAAGCAGGAAGTAGCGCTCGTGACCCTGTCCACGGACGCGGGCTGGGCCCCACACGTCCATGTGAAGCGTCTGCAGCGGGGCCTCTGTCTGAGGAAATTGGGAGGAGTGAGGGGCAGCCCGCTGCCGCCCCTCGACACAGGGGACGCAGGTAGGGCCAAGCCCGGGAGGAAGGGGAGGGAGGGGCCGGGGAAGACTAGAGACAAGGACACGGGAGGCCATGCTTTGGAGACCAAGCAGGGAGGGGTGACCAAGGCGGTGGTGCCAGAGGAGAGTCTCGTGAGACAGGAGGCGACACGAGCAGGGGGCAGACTCAGGACCATACCTGGACGCTGCAGCAAACACTTGACACGATGCAGCTACCTGACCAGACGCAGTGACTGGAGGAGACGCAGTGGTAAGTGTGTACAGGCTCGACCCCGGCCGACGAGTAAACGTGGCCAGGTGTCGGCCTGTTTGAGCGTCCGTGCAGTGGGTCACCCGCTGACTCGCAGGAGTGAACTGGTGAACCCCCGCATCCTGCAGGTCAGCACCACTCACCAAGTTCGTAGAGAATGAGGGGAGGTAAAGACCAGACAGGGTGCCAGAGGGGGCCGCCGGACACGGGAGGACAGTGGAGAAGTGAGCAAGGACAGGGCCCCCAGAGGGGTCTGCCAGAGAGATTGCAACTGGCCGACCAAGCGGCGTGAGTGTGGTGCGGTCTCGAAAGAAGGAGCGGGAAGCCCCCGAGTCAAGGGTGAAGGTGTGAGAGGCCGGAGCCGACGCGGTACCTAAGAGAGCAGACTCACCCGCACCTGAGGAAGCAGACTCACTAGCACCTAGAGCAGCAGCTGAACCTGTACCTGGAGCAAGAGACACACTAGCACCCAGAGCAGCACCCTCACCAGCAGCTAGAGCAGCAGGCTCTATACCCGGGTCAGGCGGTACGCACAGGTGACCGGCACGGTTAGCACTAGTAGGCAATGCATACATGGCAGTGAGAATAGCATCATAGTCAAGAGCAAATATATCTACCCTCTGCCTAAGCAACTCCACCCAGTCGGGGAGCTCAGCCTCGTCGCCAAACTCGGTACGCCAGGCGTCGCTCAGACGGGTGAAGTAGCGGGACTGTGTGTGACTAGGCGTCCCACAAGGCTGACCAGTCCGAGCACCAGTGCGAATCACGTAAGAGCAGCGAACAGAACTGAGAGATCCTCTACTCTGAGCGTACCACTCACAAAGCTGCTGGGGCGTGAGAGACGCTTGTGGGCGTCGCTGGAGCTGCATCTGGCCGCCGCCAGTAGTAGTAGCAGTACTAGGGCCTGTTTTGTTGCGCTGCTGCTGCGCACCAACTGGCGCCTGCTCGTACCGTTCTGCACCGCGCACAAGCTGGTGCCGGCGCTGGAGCACGTGAGGAGGGAGGCAAAGCCGGGCGGCAAGGAGGAGGCGTTTGTGGGCATGTGTGTGGAGGCACGGGTGTGTGCGGTGGGGGCAGCAGTGGCACAGCTCATGGCACAGATTCCCCAAGAAGTGTCCGTGCTTGTGGCTGTAGACGCTGCCACTACCTCCGCCTCTGCCAGCTCTCCCATACCTTCTGGTGCCCTTGCTGCTCCGTCCCCTTCCGCCGGGTCCCTATCTCGCAAAGCAGGCGCCGTTGCTGCTGCGGCTGCTGCTGCTGTTGCTGCGGTTGCGGCTGCAACGAGGACAGGCAGTGGGAGGGGGGGGGCAGGGGATTCGTCCCCGCATACGACTCTCTACTCCAAGGCACCAGCAGGCGAGACGCGGTTCATGTGCATGAAGGTCATGGGCGACCTGTTCGCCGTGCTGCTGAACCACCTCACTGCCCAGAGTGGGGAAGGCGAAGAAGAAGGGGGAAGGGGCGGGGAGAGGGAGAGGGTGACTGCGGAGTGTGAGGCGGCACAGGCGGTGGTGCAGGAGCTGGTGTGCAGCGAGGTGCTTCCGCTGTATGGTTCCCTCATGACTGATGATGAGCCTGTGCCCACGCTCGCTGAGAAGCTTCTCGTGAACTTCTTGGACCATTCGATCGTGACAGTGGATAGTATTTTATCACTGAGGCTGGCGGCGTGCTTCTTTGAGAGGCTCGTGGGGGAGCCGGCGGCCATCAACATGCACACGGTGCGCCTGTGCCTCATCCTGGCCACGAATCCTGCAGTGGACAAACGTGCGTTTGCTCACCTGCACCTGGTGCCACGCATGGGTGCGCTGCTGGAGCACGTGTGGCAGTGTGCCATGGCGGATTCTATTTATCCCGTTGTGTTGCTGTGCCTGCACGTGCTCGTGCGACAGGTGGCGGATAACGGCAGTGGGGAGCAGGAAGGCGGGGCGGGCGAGGAGGAGGTGGAGCAGTTGGCAGAGTTCACTCGCGTGTTTGTGCACCTCTGTGCGGACCCAGACCCTATGGTTGCAGACATTGCTTCTGACTGCCTCTCTTACCTACTCCATGCCGTTCCGGACCATGTAGGGCGCGCCCTTGCGCCGCACATCCCTGACGTTACCACTGTTCTCACCAGCACGGTGCAGCAGCAGCAGGAGGGAGGGGGCGAGGCGGGGGAGGTGGCCGGTGGGGCGGAGCTCGCATTAAAGGTGCAGGAGCTGCTGTTGAGACTGCTGCGCTGCTGCTCCTGACTGCCTACCCTCGTGCCGTCACCTATCAAGCGACCCTTTTGGGTACTGTGTTCCATCCTCTGCCTATGCTGTCATCATCATTCTCAGTCTTCCTGCTTGTTCTGGCCTGTTGAAACATCCCATTTTCTCTCCTTTTTTTTCTCATTCTGTCGTACCTCCCTGTGATTGCTGCTTCTCCTGCCTGCAGGCGTTCACTGGCTCCAGCGTAGCGAGGAGAAGTTCCTCCGACGTAGCACAGCGGCCCACCGAGGAGAAGTTCCTCCGCATTCGCCTCGCCAATGCCGCCTTGCACGTCGGCCCAACCTGTTTCTCTCTCTCAAATGGTCCTTTGTATTAATTCAGCAGGGGGTACAAACATGCAGTTTGACTCTTGGTACCTTTTTACCTTCCGACCCATCAACCCATCCCTCTGACCCTCCCCCCCCCCCCCCCCTCAGTGCCCCTCTACCCCTCCAACGTGTGGAGGATGTCCCCTAGGTGCAGCGGCCAGGGGTCCGCCGCCATCTGGGGGTGCGCTTCTTTGATCCCCGCCCTGGCCTTGGTGTGCAGGGCATTCACCTAGGAACGCTGTAGGGCCACTGACCAGCGCTGGCTGAAGTGGCAGGCCATCTTCTTGGCCGATTTAGCCAGGGGGTTGGCCCTGAACCGGTTCCTAGCTGCTGCTGTGGCCAGCAGCTTCAGGAACGCCGTCGTGGGGGGCGCGTCTGCCCCAAAGGTCTCGACGGCTAGGGCGCATAACACCACGTGTTCTGTGTGCCGGTAGTAATCCCTTTCCTTCCGCTTCTGAGCCTCCCTTGTAGCTCAGCCTGGGGGTTTGCGGGCTGTGGGGTCCCGGTTCTGTAGCACAGGGTCGGTGATAGTCGTATCTGTGATCCAGGTCTCTCCACTGTCTGGGTCACACACGATCACATCGGCCTTCTTCGGGTCATCCGGTGGTGAGTACATTGCATTCTCCAGGTATACCACCAGCTGCGCCTCCCTCGCCATTTTTGCCACGGCAAAGGCCAGCTGATTGTGTGTGCGCGTTCTGTCCGGGCCTGTGCTGCAGCGGAGTAGGTGGTTGGGTAGGCTGCAGTCGGCCACGAGCTCTCCACACTCGCACACGGTAGGTACGTTCTGTCGGATGCCCATGCGGAAGGCCAGGGCTGTTCGGAATTGCCCTGGTGAGAAGCAGAGGTCTGGGGTCAGGGGTAGGGCTTGCAGCCATGCTCCCGCTCCCTCGCCTCTCAGGCTGACGAGGCGGAGTGTGTGGCCCATCTCGGGGGCTGACCTGATTGAGCGTGATTCCTCTGTCAGGGCGTCGGCCTTTGCCGCGTGCACTTCCTGAGAGAGGGCCCGCTGCAGCTGGTCTTGGGACGGGGTTTCTTGCTCCTCACGGAGGTATTGCAGCGCCAGCGGCGGCAGTCGTCCCTCCATGTCTTGGATGGTGACCGAGTGTGCCGCAGACGTCTGCAGGGCGTTGGTGTTGCTCCCTAGCGCCGCGGTTGCTGGCAGGTCGAGTGAGCGGAGCAGGCGTAGTGCCTCAGTCGTTGAGGCCAGGTAGGCTGGTGCTGCTTCTGTTGTGGGATCCGTGAGGCCCAGTACACCTAGGGCCACTGGGAGGGTTGCTTGGCGGATGAGAAAATTGAACTCGGCTTCGCGGCGAGGTGGTTGGATGCTGGCGGCAGTCAGGGCGGTGTTGAGCAGTTCGGCGCACCACGCGTGCCATTCCGAGAGGGGAAGGACATCCGATGGGGTGGTGCGCAGCAAGTAGCCGATTTTGCGGCTGATGCAGCGGGACAGGAGCAGGAGGGCATGCTGTGGATGGATGGATGCTAGGGAGCCCAGGGGTCCCGCCGCGTCTGTCAGAGTACTGCGGACCACGCCAGTGCAGAAGCGCTGTGACCCCACGGGACTTCCCAACACCCGTACCCCCTCGTAGATGAGTGGGAGGCCCTCCAGGAGCTCGTCACCCTCAAGCGACGTCGTGGACCACGCTGACGATTTTTTGAGGTTGCAGGTGAGGCCATCCTGGGCGAGCAGCGGCGTCAGTAACTTAAGCGCGCCGAGCGTTGCTGTCGCCGGTCCAATCATGGTGATGTCATCTGCGTATGCTAGGATCGTGACTTCTAGGTGCTCTGCTGCTGTGCGTCTGAGGTGCTGCTGGATTGATGCCGCGAACAGCAGGGGTCCGAGGGGGTCCCCCTGCCTCACCCCTCTTCCGCTGGTAAGTGCCGTCGTGCTCAAGCGGGGATCGGTCAGCAGCTGAGAAGGCGTTGCGTAGAAGGAGCGGGTGAAAGGTATGAGCAGTGCTAGCGGGGTGTTGGTGAGTGCGTTGAAGAACGCTTTCCTCTCTACGGAGTTGAAAGCGTTTTCAATGTCGAGTTGGAGGACTAGGCTGGAAGGTTGTGAAGTGGTGAGGTCTCTGACTGCATGTATAATGAACTCAGCTCTGCCTGGGAGTGCCACACCGAATTGTTGGGGTAAGAAAAATCGCCTTGTTTCTCCTTGCAGTTCCGAGAGTGCCACCTTTGCTGCCAACCGGAGTAGGGATTCCCCTATTGCGATAGGGCGCACCCCCCCCCCTGGTTTCGCGAAGGCGATGAGGCGGGATGGCGAGAGTAGTGCTGCAACCTCGGTGGAAAGATTCGTGGAGAGAAGATGTGTTACCGCGGAGTGTAGGTGCCCCAGCACTTCGATGTTGCTTAGGGTTGGGTCGCAGTAGTGTTCAAATGTTGACCCGGATGGACCAGCCCCAACTCCGCTGGGGCAATCCCCAAGGACGTCTGAGAAACTTTCCGCGGTGCACGAAAATTGCGTGGGTGTTGTGTAGGTGTGGACCCAGTCGGGCAGCTCAACTTGGGGTTGGGGATGTTTCAATTCCAGTTGCTGTAATGTTGCGATCGTCGCAGGGGCCGCTGGCAAGGGTGAAAGGGCTGCCAACGCTTTTCGCAGATTACCTCGTTTCACCAGCCCCTCCACACGTGAGCAGATTCCCATGGGGTCGTTTTGGTGCTGAGGTGGCTCAGCTTGGTGCAGGGACCCCACGTAGTCACTGTAGAGCTGGTTCCAGTGGCCACATCTGAATAGGTGCATCTGCTCTCGCAGCACCTTCCACTTAGAGCTGGACCTCCTTCTAAGTCGTAAGGTGAGACGTGGCAGGAACATGAGGACCCGCCACGCTCCCGCGCAGCTGGGCAGTTTGGAGATCCGTAAGAGGGCGGCCAGCATACAGGTGGAGTAGTCGCTTAGTATCTGCGGCGGCAGGCGGCGGACGATAGGCAGGTGGGTGGTTGACGTTAGGGTTGAAGAGTCCCAGCTCGTCGCGATCTCAAAGAGATCTTCCCTCGATGCCAGCTGGGACGCTGACAGGGCTTGGTCCGGAGGGGGTTGGGGTATGCGGTTCTATCGGCGTCTAGAATCCCTCTCCTGCTGCTACGCCTGGTCCTCCCCCGCTTCCGCGAGAGGTGAGTCGGGGTTGTCGGGTTGCCTCAGATCTGACGGTACATATTCGTCACCGCTCCCTTCTGCGTTTGTATCACCGATTCTCATTGCTTGCGCTGTCGTTCCCCTTCTCCCCCCGCGTCTAGCAAACAACTGGCGCGTGACTCGTTCCGCCGGCTCCCCCAACCAGATTGGGCTCGGTAGTTGGCGCGGATTCCCCCTCGCCGCTTGGCCTGCACTCCGCTGTCCTCCGCGCGCTCCTCGACCCCCGCCTCTCCCCCGCGTGCTTCCCCGTCCGCTCCTCGGAGTGGCTGCCACAGGTGCTGCCTGTTGCGCCTGGGAGATCGGCGTCGTTGGCTCCTCTTGTGGCAGTGGAGCGCCCTGAGCGTGTCAGAACATTCTGTTTCTCTAATCTGCAGTGGGGTACTCTATAGGGAGTACAACCCTTTTAGGGTTTGCTATATGTATCCCAATGTTTGCTAGTGAACCCCTCTCTTCTTCATTTCCTCATTTCTTCACATGCTATCAGAGCATCTACGCTCCTGGCCTGTGGGCCCACCTAACTGCTTCCGCTGCTACTCTGTGTACTGCACGCCCCGTGGCGTGCCCCTCGCGCTACTCTTAGCGGCCCCGTTGCCGCCCTTCTAGGCCCCTCGCGGCCCCTTCGCGGCCCCGTCGCCGCCCCTTTCACGGCCCGTCGCCGCCCCTAGCGGTCCCGTTGCCGCCGCCACCGGCCCCGTCGCCGACCTCTCAGGCCCCTCGCGGCCCATTCGCGGCCCCGTCTCCGCCCCTATCGGCCCCGTCGCCGCCGCCAGCGGCCCCGTCGCCGACCCTAGCGGCCTCGCCGCCGCCCCTATCGGCCCCGTCGCCGCCGCCAGCGGCCCCGTCGCCGCCCCTAACGGCCCCGTCGCCGCCGCCAGCGGCCCCGTCGCAGACCCTAGCTGCCGCGTCGCCGCCAGCGGCCCCGTCGCCGACCCTAGCGGCCCCGTCGCCGCCCCTATCGGCCCCGTCGCCGCCTCCAGCGGCCCCGTCGCCGCCACTTGCGGCCCCGTCGCCGCCCCTTTCGGCCCTTCCTCGACCCTGCCCCGGCCCCGCCCCGGCCATGCTTCGTCGCCCGTCGCGGCGCACCGGGGGCACGTGCACCGCCCACCCCCCTTTTCCCGTCGCCTGTCGAGGCGACCTGAGGGGGCCCTGGGGGAGGGGGGCGAGCGCCGCCCCTTCTGCCGCCTGTTTTGGCGCCCTGGAAGGCCGCGCGTCGCCCCCCCCCCCCCCCCCCGTAACCTCCCTACCCGCCGTCCCGCCCTGCCCTGTGTTAGGGTCTGGGGGTGGCGAGTAGGGGGTGGCGGGTGTGTGGTCTCCCCTGCTCCTCCTCCTCCTCTGTCTCCCACTGCTGCAGCTGCCGCTGAGTGGGGTGGGTGTGTGGGAGTCGACGGAGTGGTGCTAGGGGGTGGGGTGTGAGTGAACCTAGGGGTGCAGTAAGGGGTGTGTGAAATGGGGTGGGATAGTTTGGGGAGGTTGAAGGGGGTGGCCGCCGTGAAGCCCGCAGCTCCAGTCGTCCGTGAGACCGTTGCGCCAGTCGCCCGTGAGCCCGTTGCGCCAGTCGCACGTGAGCCCGTTGCTCCAGTCGCCCGTGAGTCCGTTGCTCCTGCCGCTCAGAGTTAGCCGCGGAGCCAATTACTACAGTAGCCCGTGTGCCAGTTGCTCCAGTTGCCAGTGTGCCAGTTGCTCCTGTTGCCCGTGTGCCAGTTGCTCCAGTTGCGCCGTGTGCCAGCAGCTTCAGCTGCCGCCCACTACCTCCTCTCCTCTCATAGTCCCTCCTCCTCCACACTTGCCCTCTGCGATAGCCTCTAGCTTTGCTTACATTTGTGAACTTTAAACTGTTGCTTCTTGTACTTGTGCTCAGAATGTGTGGTGACATTGTGATCCACCTTGAGCTTGTTCTGCTTTGCTTGTTGTGCTGATTCCACCCCACTTTGACTATGGGGGTGTGTCAGAATATTCTGTTTCTCTAGTCTGCAGTGGGGTACTCTATAGTGAGTACAACCCTTTTAGGGTTTGCTATATGTCTCCCAATGTTTACTAGTGAGCCCCTCTCTTCTTCATTTCCTCATTTCTTCACAGAGCGCTCGCTGATGAATTTCCTCGGCGCTCCGCTTCCTCCTGCACGCCCTGCCGCGAGCCTACCTGTTGCTCCACCGGCGTCCGCTGATCAGATCCGCCGCCGCTTCGAGGACCAGCAGCGCGAGCTGACTCAGCGCGCGCGCAGGTCCTTGTCACCGCCAGAGCCCCTGCGCGCGGGGTCCGTCTTGCGCTCCGGCGCAGAGGCTATGGCGCACCAGGAGCGTTCGCCTCGCCGTCGCTCATCGGCAGCTCGCGACGATAAGCGGGAGAGCCGCCGCGATGATCGTCACGATGCGGCCCGTTCGCCGCTGTCTCCTTGTTCGCCTCGTCGCGTGGCGTCACGAAGCCGATCCCGTGACCGCCGTTCGCATCGTCATCGTTCGCCCCCTCCTTGTTCATCTCGCCAGCGGTCGCCTGCCCGCCAGACGTCTAGGCGTCAGCCCCCAGCTCCGCGTTCGCCCCCTCCTGCAAAGCGCCAACGGCTCTACTCCCCTCGTCGCGGGGACCGTTTTCCTGGCCGCCAGCGTCAGCAGGGCCCATCTCGCCCGCAGTCGCCTGTGCGCTCGAGCGCAAGTGGGCGTGCGCGTCGTGGGCGACGGGGAGGTGACAGTCGCGGCGGAAAAGCGGGTCCAGCGCCGTCCGCAATGGAGCGCCGTCTTCTGGATAGGCTTGATGACGTGGAGAAGGAGCTTCGTCGCTCGCGTGCTGGGTCGGCCTCACCATCAGCTCCTTGCGCTGCTCCCGTCGTCCCTCTCTCCGCGCTCCTGCCCCACAATCCCTTTGGATCCCCAGCGCGTTCAGAGCGGCCGCTGCCAACGGGGATTGGCTTCGTAGGTGCTGGTGGCGGGCCGCCGTGGGCTCAGTTTGCTTCGCCGCGTCCTCTTCCTGCTCCGCGTGATCTCGCCGTGTCGTCTCATCGTGCCCGCGCGTATGCGTTGCTTCCGCCGATGAAGGAAGTTCCCACGGCGACCCTGGCCCGCCTATGGTCGCTGGCGGCGTCCCTGCAGAGCCTTGAGCGGATTCTCCAGGAGTCATTTGACTCCATGCCGGTGAGCCCTCCGTGCAGGTTCTCTCAGAAACCGCGAGCAGATTGTCATGCGGCGGCGTCAGCGCTAATCGCGCTCGTAACGCCACTGCATGTAGCGCCCTCGCCGGGAGCAACCTCGGCCAGCCAGCTGGCTGACTCGGGCCTGGCTCTGAGGACGCTTGTAGCAGGCCCTGGTACTCCTGTTGACATTGTAGGCGCCACCGTGTCTGTGGTCCGCCACTTGTGGTTGAACACGAGCGGAATGCTCGCTGCGGTAGAGGCGGACCGCATGTAGGCGCTCCCCCCTTGCGCGTATAGACCCGTTCCATCCTCAACTTGCTAAGTGTCTATGCTTGCTTTGTTTGTATCGGTTGCCTAAGCTACTATTGCTTGTTGTTTCCCCTTGCCATCCCTAACGCGCGGCCGAAGGCCGCCGGCGCGAAGCGCCAAAATTTTCAGCACTAACTGAAAGAATGAGAGATGGAGAGGCCGCCGTGGCCTTAAGTTGTCATGGCAGAGGGAAGAAAGCAGAGGGCAGAGGGTAGAAGGGGAGAGGCTAATCCTCTCTCTCTCTCTCTCTCTCTCTCTCTCTCTCTCTCTCTCTCTCTCTCTCTCTCTCTCTCTCTCTCTCTCTTCCCCTCTCCCTCTCTCCCCCTCTCACCGGATTTGCAGCTTGTTTTTTTTTTTTTTCGTTCCTGTGTGGCAAGCCATTGGTATACCGTTTTAGAATGCGAAGTGATGTCCTCCCTACCTCCTCGTCCACACTCGCCCTCACAGGCCGCATCCCAGCTCTATCCCTCCCGTTGCGCTGCCTTTCTCCAACCACTGATGACAATCTGTCTCCCCTCCCCACTGTCCTGTCACTTGCCATGCTTGACCAGGATCGTGTTGCGGTGTTCCCTGAAGCCATAGACTTCCTGGAGCTCTGTGGCTTTGAGAAGGACGCACAGGAAGAGCACCTGGTGATGCCAGCAGAGAAGGCAATTCCGGAAATCCTCAACGTAGCGGGGCAAGAGCTGCACGCTGCCATCTACAATCCCTTCTTTGGCGTGTTCTAGACACGTCCACTGCCACCCAGGTTATTACAATCGTCCATCAGCCCTAGGAGAATTTCGTGTTCTGTCAGCCCTTGGACAATTTCGTGTAGAATGCAAGGACGACTTACGCTTCTGGTTGGATGCAAAACAAGAGAAAGGTTGCAAAACATGAGGATGATTGCAGAACACGGAAGCGTTGGCTTAGTGATGAAAGCACGGTGTTTATAAGCCCACACATGCGTTAATTACTCACTAAAGGGGTATAATAATTCGATGCTTTCTGTTAATCACATGCCGTAATCACCTACTAATGCTGATGTTTTTATCAGTAAAAGTACTTCATTGATCTAAGGTTAGTTCTGTGTGAAGAAACACTAATTAGAAAACGAGGTGTATTCGTGGTTCTGTACTGTCAGGAAGGGATCGGTCGCACTAGCACCAGCTGTGGAGTTGAATTGGCGGCAAAATATTTTGAAAATCATAACCGAGCCACAGAAATATCCTCTTTTATTGGCTGAATCTCCGTAGGACGACTGCCCGCGACTCGTTTTCTTCCCTGCCAGAAGTGGAGGGAAGGTGCCAGCAGGGCATGCCTGCCTCCCCAACTGCACCCTGTGCCATGATGGACTTCCCTCCCCTGTCATGGCAAAACTGCCCGGCCCACCACAGTCAAATGTTCATGGTCAGTCAGAGCCAGCGAAGAGGCAACGGCAAGGCTTCTGTGGCGCCAAGCCGAACGCATCTGAGCCATCCGATGCGGTACGCGGTTCGCACCAAACTCACCAATCAGCACAATCACCAAACCATTCCCAACAGAGGCATCCAAAGGATGGGTGTTTTGGAGCGTGCAGCTGATGACTCCCCATTCATGTGCACGGCAATTTCCATGGAATAGGAAGCATGAGAGCATCATCGAGATTGCTTCTCACACACATAGCTGCTCATAATTGTAGGTGGGATCTGCACACAGTTCAAGACAAGCCTACGCCCTGAAGCTTTTTGGGGCCAAATCCATCGGCTTGTGAAAGTTGGTTCGATTAGTCGTTTATAGGAATAAAAGATCTCGCATTTGCCGCTGGTTCCGCCGCGATCAACTGCTGCCTCCCAGCGGATCACCTTGCGGGATTAATGAATGCTTTTAAAGCACTCATCTGAAAGCGTACACTCTGTCGTGAAGAGCGCGTGAGTTACGGCGCCGCGACGCTATGAATCAGTATCACATCTACGACCAGATCGGCAAGGGACGCCACTCGGTAAGCTCCCGTTGCTACCATCTCACCGTAACTTCTCCTCAGCCCCTTCCCGACGAAAAATCGCTGCGCTCCGACCTATCATCACAAGCATGTCATATCGCGCGGCGAACATCCGTTATAAACAGGACGTGGATGATGTGGCATCGCTTGGCGACGCGTTAAGAGGCAGGCATGGGACGTGAACCATAACAGGCGAGACCGCGAATGGAGACGACAGTAAATGGATTGAGTCTGCTTCCTGCAATGAAATCACTGGAGAGGAGGGTTCTATTCGGTTGCAGACTGAGCTCTGATTGCCACGAAGGTCGCACCCGTGGACGCAAAGCCATAATTGCCAAAGCCCATCTATGTTAACACGCCGCAGTCAACGTATGCCTGTTTTGAGACGTCTCAAAACACGCAGTCAACGTATGCCTCTCGCAATTGCGCAGCGGCACCGTGGCCTGGACAGCACATCGACGCCAAGTGCGTGCATCAGCTAGTCTGGCGTTGATTCTGTGCGTGTGTGTGTGTGCGCGTGCATGCGTGCGTGTGTGTGTGAGTGGGTGTGCGTGCACAGGTGGTGTACAAGGGCCGCAAGAAGAAGACAGTGCAGTATTTCGCCATAAAGAGCATCGAGAAGTGCGAAAAGCCCAGAGTCCTTCAAGAGGTGCGCGCTGCCGCCCGCCACGCCCTTCCGTTCCCTCCCATGACTCCCTTCTCCTGAATCGTCCGCACCTCACTCCGCTCATGCCTCTCCGCCCGCATCCCAGTTCAATCCTGCGTCATACTCTCGCGTGGTTTCGCTGCCATGTTGCTCGCTCATATGCTCTTCTATTACATGCGGCCATGTGCTTAAAGCTCAATGCTCAGTTCTCAAAGCTCAGTGCTGCATGCTGCACGTGGTTAACGCTGACCGTGGCGTGCGCGCGCGTGCAGGTGCGCACATTCCACACGTTGGACCACGACAACGTCCTCAAGTTCCACGCCTGGTCAGTCCTCGCTCATGCCAGTCCGCCGCCCGCTCGCTCGCACCTCTGCTCTCCCACCGCGCCATGCTCGCAGCACGCCGTGCTCTTGCCTCCCTGCTCTTCGACTCGTCCCTCGTCCCGCCCTTGCTGACGTATCCCCACCTGCTGCGTGCTGTGGCTCGCTTCTCGTCATGCTGTTGAATGTATGATGTGGGCGTGTGGCTGTGTCTGGTGTGTGTGTGTGTGTGCGTGCGCGCGCCCGTGCGTGTGGGTACAGGTACGAGACAGCCAACCATCTGTGGCTTATTCTGGAGTATTGTGTGGGCGGCGATCTTCTTGCCCTTCTACGACAGGCATGCCCTTCCCCTCTCCACCACTATCCCGTCCCCCACACTCCCCCTCTCTCACTCTCCCACTACCACTCCCCCTCTCTCACTCTCCCACAACGACTCCCCCTCTCTCACTCTCCCACTACGACTCCCCCTCTCTCACTCTCCCACTACGACTCCCCCTCTCTCACTCCCCCACCTCCACTCTCCCTCCTGATTCCCCCTCACCCACTCTTTCCGTTCGCCACCCTTCTCCTACTCTCCCCTCTTCCACTCCCGCCTCCCACTCTCTCAATTCCGCCAGTCGTCATATTGCCTTGCTTCTGCGGCACGTCCTAAGCTTCCCCGCTCCCACTTTTCCTCTTCCTTGTCGCGCTCATCCCACACTCCGACCAGTACGTAGACCAACTCATCCGTCTTCCCGTGATCCTCGTCTCCGCTTCTTCCCCGTCACTGTACCTGTCCTGCGTGCTGGTGCCTGGCAGGACTCGAAGCTGCCGGAGGAGTCCATTCATGACTTCGCCCGTGACTGCGCGCAGGCCTTGCAGTGAGCCCCTCCCCTCTGCCTGCCCTGCTCCTCGTTCCCTTGCACCGTCCCGTCCAAACCCACGCGCATCTAATTTGCACCTTACGCAGCACGGCCGTCCCTGCGCTGCAATCACGTGTGTGCGACTGTGTGACTGTGTGTGTGACTGTGCGTGGGTGCGTATGCGGGCAGGTTTCTGCATTCCAACAGCATCATCTACGCGGACTTCAAGCCGTCCAACGTGCTGCTCGATGAGAACGGCCGACCCAAGGTACTCCTGCGCGCATCATGCATGCGCGCACTCTCACCTTGCTCCGCTTCGCTTGCAACTCTTTCCTCGAATTTCCAAGTCCTTGCATCCCCCACTCCGCCTCTGACCCGCTTCTCCTTCGCGCTCCCCCCTCCCTTCCCTGCCCTCCCTCTGTGTCCGCATATCTGCCTGCGCTTTTCAGCTGTGTGACTTCGGCCTTGCGAGGCGTCTCACGGACATAGCCAAGGGCTCCCAAGCCCAGGTCAGTTCTTGCGCGCTGCTGCGCTAGCTCTTCTGCTGCTTGGCTTCTTGGCTGTGGCGCTTCGCTGCTGCTATGCTGCCCCTGCTGAACCATACACCACTCTTCTGTCACTTCACCCCCTGTCTTCCATTCTCGGCCCACACCCCTTCCCCGTTTCACTCATCATTCGTCTCGCACTGCGTCCCTCCCTCCTCCCCGCGTGCTACTGTTCTCCCACCTCCCCCCCATCCCCCCGACCCCCCGTTCCCCCCATCCAGGCGCCGGTGCCCAAGCGCGGAACGCCATGCTACATGGCGCCGGAGCTGCTGCAGGAGGGCGGGGTGCTGTCGTTTGCGTCCGACCTGTGGGCGCTGGGGTGCGTCATGTACGAGTGCTACGCCGGCCACCCGCCCTTCCACTCCCCCACCTTCTCCGCGCTCGTCTCCGCCATCCTCACGGAGCCCCCCCCGCCCCTGCCCGGGACACCCTCGGTGGAGTTTCAGGACCTTGTGATGCGGCTGTTGGATAAGAATCCTGGGACCAGGATGGGGTGGGAGGAGCTTAGGGAGCATCCCTTCTGGCAGTCGCCTATCAAGGCGCTGCCGCTGCCGCCGCAACCGGCGCTGAAGAACTTTCTCCGCGCGCAGGCGCAGGCGGAAGCGGAGGCGCAAGCGCTGGCGCAGGCGCAAGCAGCAGCGCGGAATGGGGGGGTCAGAGGAGCGGGGGAAGGGCGGGAGGTGAGCGGGTCGGGTGAGCGGGAGGGGCGGGTGGCGCTGGGGGACGTGGCGGCTGCGTGCGGAAATGCGGGAGATGGGGGGCTTGCGGGGAGCGCGGAGGGCAGACGAGACGTCTTGGCAGGGGGCGGGAACGGCAGCAAAGGCGGAAACGGCGGGGAGAACGGCGGGGATGGCGGACCGGGGAGGGGAGCGGCACCTCCAGTTGCAGCAGCAGCAACAGCAGTGCAAGCAGCAGCGGTAGCACCAGCAACACCCGGAACACCAGCGGCAAGTGCTGGCGGAGCAGCGGTGTCGGCGGAAGTAGTGGCGGCGAGCGTGCTGCGCCTGTCGCGCATTGTGCGCAGCAACCTGCAGAAGGACGCGGAGGGGGCCGAGGGCGCGGGCGGGAGTTACAGGCACGGCGGAGGGCTGAAGGCGGGGAGTCGGGAGGAGGTGCTTTTAGCGAGTCACGACATGGAAGTGGATTTGGAAGAACGGGGCCATGGCGCGGAGCGGGAGCGCGGCGCTCATATCGAGGATGCTGGCGTGGAGAGCGGCGAGGAGAGCGCGAGCAGCGGAGGGGAGGAGGCTGCGGTGGGGCACGCGCGGAAGCGGGGGACTCATGCGCGCGGGAGTTCGGATGTGGAGGATGAGGGTGAAGGGGAGGGTGCGAGAGGGAAGGGGGAGGGGGAGGATGAGGGCGAGGAGGACGAGGCTCCGGCATGCATGACAGCAGCAGCAGGAAATGCAGCAGGAACAGGAGCAGGGGCAGGGGCAGCACTGCCGCCAGTCGCAGCGGCGACTGGCGCGGCAGTGGCAGCGACGACAGCGACAACGACGACCACGACGACTAGCATGACGACGACGAGCATGACGGGCGGTAGCGTCACCTCCGAGGAAATCGAGCTGGACCTCAGCAGCGGCGCCGCCACGCCCCTGCACCCCTCCTCCGCGCGCCACCCCAGGGATGCGCGCAAGGGCGCGGGGGGAAGAGACGGGGGGAGGGAGGGAAGGATGCGGGAGGGTGAGGAGGAGGAGGTGGTGGGGGGGTTGGCGGCGGAAGGGAGTGGAGAGGGAGGGGGTGAGGAGCAGCAGGTGCGCGGGGGAGGGGAGGAGAAGCGCGGGGGAGGGGAGGAGAAGCGCGGGGATGGGAAGGATGTGGTGGAGGGAAGCGCGCATACGGAGGGCGAGGGCGCGCAGCAGGCGGGAGCAGCGGAGGGGCGAAGAGAGCAGGGGGCCAAGGCGGCAACAGAGGGGAGAGGAGGCCGCGGGAGTGAGGGAGAGGGGCGGGCAGCCGAGGGGCCGGCAGCAGCAGGCGGCGCAGGAGCAGCAGCAGCAGAGGCGGAGAAGGCGCTGTCAGCAGTGGACGTGATGTGGCACGCGTCCGACGTGGCAGTGAAGCCCATCGTGCTGAACCGGCGCATTGAGAAGCTCCCCGAACCCGCCTTCGACGCGCGCCACCTCCCCATGGACCCGCTCGCCCCCGCTGACCTCGTCAAGCTGGCGGGCGGAAGCTCCGCCGCGGAGGGGCAGCAGCAGCGGGGGAGCAGCAGCGCGGCGGACGCAATGCTGGGGCGGCTGGTGGGGGTGATGTCGGGGAGCTTCTCCCTAGCGGATAAGCTGAACGTGCTCAAGTACGTGGAGTCTCTGGCGTACGATCCAGACGCGGCGAACGTGGTGATCAACAGCCCGCTCATGGTGTGCCTCGTGAAGTTCCTGCGCAACTGCAAGGTGCCTGCGCTGCGCGTGGAGCTCTGCACCGCCATAGGGCTGCTGGTGCGCCACGCCACGGCTATCCGGCGGGAGCTGGCGGCGAGCGGGCTGGTGGGGGTGCTGGCGGAGTGCCTGCGCGACAAGCAGGAGAAGGTGCGCCGGCGCGCCATGGCTGCGCTGGGGGAAATGGCGTTTTACATCGCCACGCAGAGCCCCACTCCTGCCGCTGCTGCCGCCGCTGCTGCTCCGTCCCCTGCGAGCGGGTTAGTGATGGGCGCGACAGCGGGGGGAGGGGGGTGGCAGCTGACAGGCACAACGGTGACGCCAATCATGGCGATGCTGCGGCGAGGGGAGGACGAGGTGACCATGCACTATGCCGTGAAGACCATAGAGAATATTGTCAGCGAGGGCCCCGCATGGGCGGCGCGCTTTGCCACGCAGGAGACGGTGGGGAACCTGTGCCACATCTTCCGGCACAGCTCGTCGCGGCAGGAGCACCTGAAGCTCACTGCCGGGTCGTGCCTCGTGCGCATCCTGCGCTTCGCCCCCTCGTGGGTGGCGCTCGTGTTGGACCGAATCGGCCCTAAAGAGGTGGTCACAGCGCTGGCGAAAGCGGCGCCTAGGGAGCAGCAGCTGCTGCTGACTCTTGTGAATGTGGCGCTTGCTGCTGCTGCAGCGGGGCAGCTGCCTGCACGGCAAATGGCAGCGTTGACGGAGGACAAGGGGGGTCTGCCTGCAGTGGCCGTGGGGCTGCTGCTGCAGGAGCAAGCCACGGAGGTGCTGCGGGGCAAGGCTCTCTGCTGTGTTGCGCTGCTGCTGCGCACCAACTGGCGCCTGCTCGTACCGTTCTGCACCGCGCACAAGCTGGTGCCGGCGCTGGAGCGCGTGAGGAGGGAGGCGAAGCCGGGCGGCAAGGAGGAGGCGTTTGTGGGCATGTGTGTGGAGGCAGGGGTGCGTGCGGTGGGGGCGGCAGCGGCACAGCTTATGGCTCAAATACCTCAAGACGTGTCCGTGCTTGTGGCTGCTGTTGCTGCCACTACCTCCGCCTCTGCCAGCTCTCCCATCCCTTCTGGTGCCCTTTCTGCTCCGTCCCCTTCTGCCGGGTCCCTGTCTCGCAAAGCAGGCGCCGCTGCCGCTGCGGCTGCTGCTGCTGTTGCTGCGGTTGCGGCTGCAACAAGGTCAGGCAGTGGCGGGGGGGCAGGGGATTCGTCCCCGCATACGACCCAGCAGCAGGCGATGCAGCAGCAGGCGCTGCAGGCGAGCATAGTGGACATGTTTGCGGTGGTGGTGATGATCATGACGAGCCCACTGCTGCGCCCGCTCATTGTGGAGGCAGTGCTGCTGCAGCACCTCACTCACTGCCTCTCCCTCTGCCTCGCCAGCTCTGCATCGCTCTACGTGAGTCCCTCTGCTTCAACCCCTTTGCTTTACGCATTGTGCTCCACACTCTCTGCGCCAGAGAGTGTACACGTGATTCTTCTCTCGGCAGTCCCTCTTGACCCATCCTGCATCACCCATAATTCCTCCTCTCCGCCACCCCCCTCTCTTCCACCCTTCCACTCCTCCCCTTCCGCCCACCCACACAGCCGTTGGAGCAGCTGCTAGCAGCGGTGCTGCAGGCAGTGGAGGCGCTGTGCCAGCAGCCGCAGAAGCTGCTGCAGCACACAGCAGCACTCGCCAGTGGGCTGCTACCCGCCCTCGCACAGCTCTACTCCAAGGCACCAGCAGGCGAGACGCGGTTCATGTGCATCAAGGTCATGGGCGACCTGTTCGCCCTGCTGCTGGACCATCTCACTGCTCTCAGACAGCAAGGGCGCGCGCAGCAGGAGGGAGAAGGCGAAGGGGAAGGGGAGGAGGAAAGGGAGAGGGAGAGGGTGAAGGTGGAGTGTGAGGCGGCACGAGCAGTGGTGCAGGAGCTGGTGTGCAGCGAGGTGCTGCCGCTGTATGGTTCCCTCATGACTGATGATGAGCCTGTGCCCACCTTCGCCCAGAAGCTTCTCGTGAACTTCCTGGACCATTCGATCGTGTCAGTGGATAGCATTTTGTCACTGGGGCTGGCGGCGTGCTTCTTTGAGAGGCTCGTGGGCGAGCCGGCGGCCATCAACATGCACACGCTGCGCCTGTGCCTCATCCTGGCCGCGAATCCTGCAGTGGACAAACGTGCGTTTGCGCACCTGCACCTGGTGCCGCGCATGGGTGCACTGCTGGAGCACGTGTGGCAGTGTGCCATGGCGGATTTTGTCGACCCTGTTGTGTCTCTCTGCCTGCTCGTGCTGGAGCGACAGGTGGCGGATAACGGCAGTGGGGAGCAGGAAGGCGGGGCGGGCGAGGAGGAGGTGGAGCAGTTGGCAGAGTTCACGCGCGTGTTTGTGCACCTCTGTGCGGACCCAGACCCTGTGGTTGCAGACATTGCTTCAGACTGCCTCTCTCTGCTGCTTCACGCTGTTCCCGACCACGTAGGGCTTGCTCTCGCTCCGCATATCCCTGATGTCACCACGGTTCTTGCCAGCACGGTGCAGCAGCTGCAGGAGCTGGAGCAGCAGCAGCAGGAGGGAGGGGCCGAGGCAGGGGAGGAGACCAGTGGAGCGGAGCTATCATTAAAGGTGCAGGTGTTGCTGTTGAGAGCAGCAGGGTGCACGTGCAAGGAGTTGAGAACGGCGATAGTGAGGAGACGGGAAGAGGTGGCAGCGCCTGTGGCGGAGCTGCATCAGCTGCTGGGGCTGGCGAGTGCGGCGGCGAGGAGCAGTGCGGTGGAGGAGGTGGTGGAGGCGGCATCGTCTACTGCCACGGACGTGCAGAGACTGCTGCGCTGCTGCTCCTGACCGCCTACCCTTGTGCCATCACCTATCAAGCGACCCTTTTGGGTACTGTGTTCCATCCTCTGCCTATGCTGTCATCATCATTCTCAGTCTTCCTGCTTGTTCCGGCCTGTTGCAACGTCCCATTTTCTGTCATTTTTTCTCATTCTGTCATTCCTCCCTGTGATTGGTGCTTCTTGCTGCTTCTCCTGCCTGCAGGCGTTCACTGGCTCCCGCACACCTGTCGAGCCTGCGAGCTGCCTGAGGAGGAAGGACCTCTTGCATGGAACTCCAGTAGTTTACCAGTACCCTTCATGAATCCACAGCACATGCCATGTCCACTACCTGTGGGCAGGCGAATCATCAGCTACAGGCTACGGTATATCTTTTATAGGAATCTCGCGCTGTCGTGCAACTGCTTACTCTGTGTTTTCCACTTCCTCTACTCTCCCTCAACACCTGCACCAGCCTCTATTTCAAGGAGGCACACTCTCTTCCTCGTCCTTGTCTCCTCCGTCTCCCTAACAGACCTTGCAGTGGCTGTTAAAGTTGGAAGAGTATTTTGGGTTTCCAATGTGATTCCCAAGTTATGATTTCACTAGTTATAATCACACTATATGTGATACGGTACTAGTACTCGTCCGATTATTCTTTACAACCCAAGAAAAGAACTGAGGGGAACCCCAAAGAACCCATTTGAACCCAAAAAAACTGAAGGGGGAACCCACAAGAACCCAATAAAACCCAGGAGAAACCAATGTTGGGAACAAATAGTCTTAAGCGCCTCTGTCGTGTCGAAACTCAAGACACAAGCGAAGCAGCTCAAATCGAAGCACCGCGAGTCAACCCTCGGAGGTTAACGTAACCGCTGGAGGTTACGAGAAAGTCAAAGGTCAGCGACCTTTGACCTGACGCAGCGCGACAGCAAGGACACACAACTGACTCGACATTGAGCAGTTGCCCGAGTCGCACTGTATCGAACCGCAACAGTAAAACAGTTACAATTATGTCTCTTCATATTCTCTGTACTCATATATATATTCCTGTATCTCTTTGCTTTAATCAACTTACTTTGCCCTCACATACTAGCGCAAGGTGGTTCAAGGACTTTATTCAAACGCTTCCGCTACTACATCATTTACTCAGACTTTAACTCTACTAAAGATCCTAGGGCGTTCAGCCCAACAACCAAGAGAACCGAAAGGAACCTAAGAGATCCCAAGGGAAGCCAAGGGGCAAAGCCACGGGTGTTGGAAACAATCGGTCCTAAGCGCCTCTGTCGTGTCGAAACACTAAGAGGTTCGCGTGATAAGGGGCCGTAGGAACACGTCCTAAGGCACAAGCGAAGCAAAGCATATCGAGGCACCAGCGAGTCAACCCTCGGAGGTTGAATTAACCGCTGGAGGTTACGCGAAAGTCGAAGGTCAGCGACCTTTGACCTGACAAATACAGCACGACAGCAAGGACACACAACTGACTCGTTACAGAGCAGTTGCCCGAGTCGTCACTGTATCGAACCGCAACAGCAACAAGTAAAACAGTTATAACCGTATCCTTTCATATTCCTTGTACTCTTATATAATCTTGTACCTCTGTTTTAATCAACTTACCGTCATACCCCGGATATAAGCGCCACCCTCGGATAAGCTCCTGGCGCTTTTAATTGGCGTGTGGCGCTTATATCCCCTGCTCAATTATAAGCGCACCCCCTGAAAAAACTTGTTTTTTTATAAGCGCACGTAAACTTATTTTTTTGAAATGTGTTCAAAACGCTTTAACGATTTCTACTTTAGCAGGCAGATGTTTTGCAGATTCGGTTCCCTTCACATTCGGACCCTGCACTGGATTCGGGTCCAGTCAGCAGGAGCTGTCATGAGCTGTCAGGAGCTGGATGTGAGTCAGATTGGGTGTACCTCCCTGCGCGCGCGAGAATTTCACAGACGACCCCATGTAACTTCGTCTCGATTGAAAAGGCAAGCACGAGATCTACAGTATGGTGTTCAAAAATATATAAAAACATATATGTCATTTTATAAACGCCGGCGCTTATAAATTTACTCGATTATAAGCCCACCCCCCTAAAAAAACCTGCTTTATTATTGCCCCCCATGGGGGTATATCCGGGGTATGACGGTACTTTGCCCTCACATACGGTACTAGCGCAAGGTGGTTCACAACTCTTTATTAACGCTTCCGCTACTACACCAGCTCTACCCAGAGTTCACCCCTGCAAAGATCCAAAGGGCTTTTTCAGCCCAACAACGGGGACCCACGGCCCAGCCACGGGGTCTCATGGGAGAACAAGGGAGCATGGGAGAACACAGGAGCACGTGACCGGGAATACAGGACAGGGAACACGAAACTGGGAACACATGAATCTACATGGCCTGAGTGCTGAATCAATCAAGCAAATGGCCGCCGTTGGGTCCTCTCGGGGTCGTGCACGCTGATTGGCAGCACAAACGAGAAAGGCACTGCAACCAGTTGTCAATACCGTACATGCAATGTAACATTCAAGACAGGACAGATGCATGCTGTGGAGAGTCAGTCAAGGCACAGGAGGGACATGCCCTTGGGAGAGAGACCACTGACTTGTTGCATTAGGCCTATCTACGCAGTTCAATGCTCTTGGTTGAAGCCTGCTTTGACCATGCACGTGCTGCAGCACTACAGAACGCACATCCACCGGGCTTGATTCTTGTGGAGAAATGAAGGGTAGAAGGTGCGTCAATCAATAACCGAGCAGTGGGAGTGGCAGAGAGTTGAATCGGTCCACAGCAGCAGGAGTGAGGCCAGAGAGGAAGAGGAAGCACTTTGCGGGGCGGGCATCCACGATGCAACGCCGCACAGAAGTATGCTGATGCCAAGCATGCAGTGCACAAGCAGCGACAGGGAGGTGGGTGGACAGGGGAGGGATGGGTGGACATGACGGGGGGGAGGAGAGGAGGGGGAGGAAGAGGGAGGGATGAGGTGGGAGGATGCAACTAGCAGGCACTGATCATCACATCAAAGGTTTGGTTGGGACGTGGCAAATGGGCGAAAGTGATGCATGTTTTTGGATATGAGTCAGTGCATGTGCATGTGCAGAAACAAAGCGGTGAGTGCCTGGGGACAGTGGGACACAGGAATGAAATGGTGGCAGCAATGACGCTGCAGGAGGGACTTACACTGGCTTGACTGGTTGTGTAGTAGTGATTCGCTTCCTGCAGTGGTGCACATGGGGGGCACATGGGGGGCACATGGGGGGCACATGGGGGGCACATGGGGGGCACATGGAGGGCACATGGAGGGCACATGGAGGGCACATGGAGGGGCGCACGGGGGAGCACATGGGGCACATGCGACACACAGGGGAAATGTATATGGGGACATGGGAAAACACATGGGGGGACACATGGGGGAACTCATGGGGGACAACAGAGGGTGAGCGTTGGCACAGTAGACTGGCTCACGTGGTGCATACCAGGTCTGTGAATGCCTGTCTGCATGCATGCAGTCAGCATGGGGTTATTTGGTGTGCAACAAATAAGTTTGCGGGTAGGATTTAACATGCGGTGTGGAAGAAAGAATGGCTGGTGAGTTGAGAGCTGGGCGGGGCTTACTTGCACGTTGTGCAGGAGAAGGGAGGAGATGCGCGAGGGGGTGAGGGTGGGTGGGGCGAGGAGGTGAGAGGAGGGCGAGTGCGCGTAGATGACTGATCTGTTGGCCACCCTGTCCGGCCATGTCACCTGCTCACACCCCGCCATGGCAAGCAAGGCGCAAACGGACGAGAGGATGATGGGGCACGGGCTAAGAGTGAGCAGTGTGAGACACGAGGACGAATCAGCAAGAGTGGCGGCATCAGCATGAAGTCAGAACGGAATCTGTAAGAGTGGCGGCAGGAGGAGCAGGAGGGGGGCTTACTCGTAGGAGAGTGGGGACGTAGTGATGGGCGGGGTTGCAGTGGTGGTGCCAGCGGTCGTTCTGAGACAGGGAGGGCAGGGAGGATGGAAGGGCAAGGCCACGCACGAGTGGGAAGAATGAGAGGGAGAGGCAGGGGTAGACATGGGATATGTCAGTAGCAAGCCATGTGGGACTGACTGTCAATGACTGGTGCGCTAGTGCATGAGAGAACGAGCACAAGGAGTCATATCACTGTGCAAGATGAGAGGGCGGGAAAGCGAGGGTGCGATGATGTTATGGCATGGCAAGTTGGCAACCTCACGATGGTAAAGAGAACATGACAGGAGAACACATGGGGCAGTGGTTCGCTCCAACGCACTCTGTGCCACAGAGTGCTCATGGCACGCATGGAGCAATACAATGAGTGTGTGCGCGTGCGCGTGCGCGCGCGTGTGTGTGTGTGTGTGTGAGAGAGAGAGAGAGAGAGAGAGAGAGAGAGAGAGAGAGAGAGAGAGAGAGAGAGAGAGAGAGAGAGAGAGAGAGAGAGAGAGGGAGGGAGGGAGAATGAGGGGGCCGGCGTCGGACCCGGCAGAAGGCAGCGAACTTGGCGTAGACTGCCCGGTCCTCCACTATGGCGTATGCATGGCGCCTCGTGATCGCCATCCACTGATGGGGGCGGACGGGCGGAAAGGAGGGACGGAGGGTGGGAGGGTGAGAAAGGTGTAAGTGGGGGAGCATGGGGCATGGGGCATGGTGTATGGTGCATGGGGAATGGGGCATGGAGAATGGGGCTTGGGGAAAGTGGAGTGGGGCATGGGGCATGGAGCATGGGGAACGGGGCGTGGGGAACGGGGCATGGGGCATGGTGTGTGCGAGGGAGCAGGGAGAACCTGTGAGCCGGCGGTGAATTGGAGGGGGCGCACGTCAGGAGCCATGTGCGGGGAGTAGGCGGATGGGGAGGGCTCTGGGTCGGAGCTGCATGGCGGAGCGAGGGCAGGTGGCGCGGACGGAGAGGGGAAAAGGGAGAGAGAGGGGCGTACACGCAGGATGAGGAAAAAAGATTTGCAACGACAGGAGCAGAGGCAACAGGTTCTCGAAAGCATATTTTTGAGTGCGGGCTGGAATGAGCGACAGAGGCACAGATGGAGGAGAGAGAAAGCGGTGGTGCAAACAGAGCTGCCATGGCATGTGAGGAATGGTGGGCAGTGGATGAGGAGGGGAGGGGCTGGGAGAGTGACCTGTGGAGGTAGGCGAGGGGCGACGCCATGAGGTAGCGCCACACCGTGGTGAAGTTGCGCACTGGCACACAGCTGATGGGGGGCGCGGGGCGGAGGGGAGGGGGAGCGGAAAAGGGGGGGGGGGTAGGGGAAGAGGAGGGATGCGGGAGAAGAGCAGCACACAGGAGCGTGCACGGGGGAGAGGGGAATAGGAAGGAGGGGGAAACGTGAGGGAGGAGGACGCGCGGCCAGCTAAGTGCATGGAACGGTGGGGAGGACGCGGTCTAGGGGAGGAGGAAGGGAAGAGGTGGGGGGGGGGGGGGGGGGGGAATTGGTGGGGTTGCTGGGGGAGAGAGCGGAATAGAATGTGGAGATAAGAAAGCTGGGTGGAGAGTTGGGTGCTTACGAGGGGGAGAGGATGAGGAAGCGGAAGTTGCGAGGGTTGGCAAGAGCGGGGGCTAGGAGCCTCCTCAACGCATCCACTGCTGTTATGTCGCCCTCCCTGTACTGCTCATGCTCACATGCACACACACACGGAGACACACACACACACACACACAAAGAAATGCACCCACAGACACACTTGTTCCACACGAATGAACACATTCAAGATGTTCACACAAATAAGCTCATCCCCCCAATCCCTTTCCCTCCTCACGACAAATGCAACCAGCCAGACGTGCTTGATTGGGTCGGGTCAAAGCATCCGCACGCATGCACCCCATGCACGCATGCACCCCATGCACGCACACGCATGCAGAGCACGCACGTGGTGAGCGCGCACGAGGGAGTCGTTGAAGAAGAGTGTCTGTGAGTGCTCGCCCGAATGCGCGTGCACATACACGTTGTACTTCCCCTCGTGGCCCTGCCCGCCCGCACACCCATGCCCAGTTGGTGCCCGCGGAGTGGCGGGGGAGGGGCGGGGGGAAGGAAGGGGTGGGGGAGGCGGAAAGGTGGAAGTCAGGGGGAAGACGGTGAACAAGACAAGTCGGATCGCTTGGGTACAAAGCGAGAGAGCAACAGCCTACAGGGAAGGGGGAGGAGGTGCAAGGGAGAAGGCGTGAGGGGTCGGGAAAGGGGGAGAACGAAGAACCCAGAACCAGGGGTGCGCGGTGGTGGGTGGGGCTGAGAGCGAGGGAATGGAGGTCTTGGGCCTGGGCATACCTCGAAGAAGCGGTTCCAAACAGCTGGGGACGGCAGGGCGGCATTGGGCGGGGCGAGGAAGAGGAATGCGATAGCAGGGTCCGTCACGCCTAGTGATATCTGCTCCCTCTCCACCTTCTTCCCGCGCACCAGCGCGAGTAGCACCTCGTCCTCCGCGGATACTCTGTGCGCCTTCACTGCCGCCAGGGGCGCGCCCGCCGCCCTCTCCCGCGCGCTGCACGCAACTGTGCGCTCCGCGGACGCGGAACGCGCGCTGCTTGATGCGCCGCTGGCGGGGTGCGCGCCAGGGAGGGAACCATCTTCCGCGAAATCCCCCCCGTCCGCCCCGATGCGCGCGCTTGAATCTGCGCCTGCGCCGAAACCGGCGGAAGACCCAGGCAATGCGGAAGCGGATCCCAGCGATCCGGGTGCCGCCGCAGCTGCAGCCGCAGCGGCAGTGGCGGAAGGGGACGCGAGGCTGGCTTGCGGCTCAGGTGCGCGGACGACAGCATCCGTGCATTCCAGCGTGACGGCTTCCGCCAGGCGCTGCCCCAGCGCCGTCACGCGGAACAGGCTCAGCAGTAAGCGCACCTCGGCAGACGCCGCTGCTGCCGCGGCGGAAGCTTTCGCTTGCGCGCTTCGAGTCAGTCCCCACCAGCCCCTACTCGCGGAAGGGGTTCCAGGCCCGTCGTCCCCTTCATCCCCGCTAAAAGCAGATCTGCTACTGGCGGCACCGTCTGATGGACTCTGAACTCGATTCCAGTCCGCCGCTGTCGAGCCGTACGGCGGTTCGTGCTCGCTGAAACGAAGGCGGCGCGGCGAGAGAGAGCCGCTGGTGGAGCACGCGAGAATGAGGGAAACCGTGACGCCCGCAATGGCGATTACTAGAACGAGAGCTATGGCGGCTCGGCGGTTCGAGCGACTGCTCTTATCGTCGCTGTTATCGCGAGAGGGCGCGCGGGAAGGTGAGACGGCGGAAGAGGAGGAGCCGACCGCGGAGAGAGAGGAGAGAGAGGAGAGCGAGGAGTGCGGGGAGCGGGAGGTTAAAGGAGCGGCGGAGGGGAGGCGGTGGTCGAAAATGAGCTCGATATCGGCGATCAGGCGCTGCAGGGGGAGGAGCAGCGCCGATAGCGCCATCCTGCGCCGCCGCGCCTGTCAATGCGCCGATGGCGCAAGCGCGCACGCAAGGCGCTCAAGTCACTCGCAAGTCCAGACAATTCTCGAAAATTTCTAAGACGTAGAGTGAATAGTCGCGTGGCTACGAGCGATGTATTGCTAAGGAGAGAACAAGCGCCTAGCGAGGAAAGAGCAGAAAGTCATTCACTTCCAAACATGATTCAACGGCGTCCGTCCATCCCGAATTTCCCAGGAAATAAATAGCAGAGTACCTCTAAAGAACATCGTGGCAATGGGACAGTGAGACCGTGGGATCGGATCGGCCGAGCCGGGTGGAGGAGCAGCGCGAGGAGACTAGCTAACCCAGCACTCCATCCAACGGCGAAACAAATCGGGCAAGCAAATCCGCGAGAACCGGTAGATCTGACGGACAGATTAAACGAGCAAGCGAGTGCGTAGGAGGCAGGATGGAGTGTAATGGCAGGCGTGGTAGGATGACGTGACGTCACGGCAGGCAACCAGAGTCTACTGTACTGTACGACAATCGCATCCAGAAAACTGCAGTCTCGGGATTGGTTGGAACTTTGAATGGAGCTGGTCTGGGGACAGGCACGCGCGCGCATCACGCTGCGCTCTGTCTGCCCTCGAGCGTTCTCCCTAATCCTTCCACAATTGGGTTCGGTCTGGCATCCTGTGTGGTCGAAGTCTTTCAGAGGTGGGTTGGTCCTCTCCACATCACCACACTACTGGAACGTACATATACTTAATACTAATAAATAATACAGGTTAAACTATTTGCACTATCTACATCAGCTCACTGCCTGCACGTCTACCCAAACCAAGCAGCCTACAGAATCAACAAGAAAAAAAACGTCTTGCTACAGCCTGCTACCAACCCAACTTACGCCAACTCATAACATACACATCTATCTACATGCCCACTACTTGACTCCAAGCTCACCCCGAATCTTGTTGACAAAGAGCCCCTTGCTCTTCATGTTGGTGGGTACCCACCCCATGAAGGTTCCAAAGGGAAGCTGCGCAAGGCCCTGTTTCCGGCCCAGAGAGACAATGGCCACATCCATACCCGGGGAATACGACTTGAGCGTGGTGGGCTTGCCATTGCTCTTGAGCACTTTGCGGATGTTGGATGCCGCCACGCGGGCATGCTCCTGCGCAAAGTACCCTTGCTTGTTCTCCTGCACATGGTGGGAAGAGACGAGACGAGGCAAGGAAGCAATGCCATAAGGAAGGGCCGTACGACACATCGCTATCAAGGCATGCCGGGCGAGCATGGCAGGGTGGTAGGAGCAAGAGCCACGGGAAGGGAGCACACCTTGATGTTGGTGATGTCACCGATGGCAAACACGTTGGAATGGCCCTCCACACGCAGGTGTGAGTCCACCTTCACTCGCCCATCCTCCACTGCTGCGCCCAGGGCGTCTGCTCACATGCACCAACACCACAACAGCACATACAGTGGTCAGATACGGCGAGACACACCACCATCAACACGGGAATGTGCAGTCATCCTGAATGTGAGGACAGGGCACTGCAAGAGGCGACTCCGAAGTGCACAAGAATGTGGTGAAACGCACAAGCGCAGAGTAAAATGCAAAAAAAACGCAAACCAGGCAGTGCTGATTTGCACACAACCCAAGCGCCTTCCCCTCCTTTCCGCAACCCACTTCCCTCACCCCTCCCCCACATTATTCCCACAAATCGCCCTGGTCTGACCTGTGAGCCAGGCGGTGTAAGGGCGCGCGCCCACAGCGATGGCCACATAGTCCGCCGTGAGCTCCTTGCCCGCGTCCGTCTTGAGCGTACCGCTGCTGCCGAATTGATCTGCGATACATCGTCAACACGGGGCACGGGAGAGGATGGTGACGCCTGGCAGCAAGCACAAAGCTGCCTGCGCAACGACGAAAGCGAGCACACTGAGCGCCCTCCACGCGCTATCCCCTCGCTGCCTCCCCACTCCTCACTCCCCACTCCTCACACATCACTGCCATGGCACTGACCCCAGGAAGCCTGCACGCGGTCGCCCAGCAGCACGTCCACGCCCTGCCCTTTCAGCCACGACAGGATCTTGTCGCTGCCCTTCGCCTTCAGGAACTCGCACACGCGCGCGCCACCGGTGGCGATGGTGATCTTCTTGCCCGGCATGTCCGTGAGAATCTCCCCGGCCAGCTCCACGCCCGACGGCCCTCCGCCCACCACCACCACGCTCTTCGCCGCCTTCAGCTTCTCGCTCTCTGCTCTTGCCCGCCACAACCGCGCGGCCGCCAGGGTGGGAGGGAGGGAGGGAACACGGAACCAAGGAAAAGAGGAACAAGGTAAGGAAAGGGGTCGGCAGGGACAGCAAACCGAACGCCTTAGCTACACTCCTCTAACGCACGGGAAAGCACTCATTCTACCCATCCTATCAAACCCCTACACAGAAACCTCAACAACTAGAGAACTCTTTGGTCTCCCAGAAACGACGCACTGCCACTAGCGCCGGTCGGGCAGGGACGGCACAGACGCACCTTGCGCGTAGAACTTGAGGCGGTCGTCGCGGGTGGTGGTGGTGTAGGGCTCGGAGCCCGTGCAGATCACCAGCACGTCGTACGGCACCGCCGAGCCGTCCGCTAGCAGCACCTCGCCGGCTGCTGCCGCTGGCTTCGCGCTCTCCTTAACGGCCTCCTCTTTCTTCGCACTCTCCTTCGCCTCCTCCTTCGCCTGCTCCTTCGCCTCTTTTTTAGTCTCTTCCTTAGTCTCTTCTTTAACCTCTTCCTTAGCCTCCTCCTTAGTCTCCTCCTTAGCCTCCTCCTTAGCCTCTTCCTTAGCCTCCTCCTTAGCTTCTTCCTTAGTCTCCTCCTTAGCCTCTTCCTTAGCCTCTTCCTTAGCCTCTTCCTTAGCCTCTTCCTTTACCTCTTCCTTTACCTCTTCCTTAGCCTCCTCCTTAGCTTCTTCCTTAGTCTCCTCCTTAGCCTCTTCCTTAGCCTCTTCCTTAGCCTCTTCCTTAGGCTCTTCCTTTACCTCTTCTTTAGCCTCCTCCTTTACCTCCTCCGTTGCCTCATCCGCCTTAACCTCTTCCTTAATCTCTTCCGCAGTCTCCTCCTTAGCCTCTTCCTTAACTTCTTCCTTAGCCTCCTCCGTAACCTCCTCCTTAGACTCTTCCTTAGCCTCCTCCTTAGCCTCTTCCTTAGCCTCCTCCTTAGCCTCTTCCTTAGCCTCTTCCTTAGCCTCTTCCGTAGCCTCTTCCTTACCCTCCTCCTTAGCCTCTTCCTTAACCTCTTCCTTGGGCTCTGTTTCAGTCGCGGGAGCCGCCGCCTCTGTCTTCTCGTCGGTGCTCGCCTCCTTTGTGTCGGCGTCCGCCTTAGCGGGTGCCGGCGCAGCGGCGAGAGAGAGGCCGGCGATGAGCGCGGTGACGGCCTTGGCCTTGTGCAGGTACGCCGTGTGCGGGATCACGATCTTCTCCGCCAGCGATGGTTCCACGAAGGCGCGTGGCGTGGCCCAGCGCACTTCCATGTAGTCCTTGCTGCGGCGCGACAGGACAGGGGGAAAGACGGAAGAACATGGTACAGATTGATTTCCCAAAGATGGCAGAATGACGTGGAAGAGGAGCGCTAGCGAGCATGCGGGCTGAAAAATCGGCGAGTTAATTTTGACCGAGCTGAACGGGCGAAAAACTCGGTATGATGCGTTAGTGAGACGCTGCCAGCCGCGAGTGGCGAGGAGGTGTGAAGGTGGGTTGGAATACCTGTCAATCAGCGTCACATCAGCGTCTTTCTCAATGAGCTTGGCTAAAAGCGACCCTGCAATGCCACCACCCGCAATCACAACGCGCTTCGCCATGACTTCCCGTCTTGTAGTGGGTTCACTGGCAGCTTTGACTTTTTGACGTAGTCGACGGTCCAAAGGAATAGCACGTAGCAGAAACGAGGAAGAAGTTGGGTTCAAGATGTGATAAAGGATCAACTAGGCTGAGAGCATTTGAGTCTTTAAACAGCCAAGAATTGTAGCAGTGGTGACTGTCTCGTCAACTGCTTTTGAGAGAGCCAGAGTCCGTGGTTCGCTTTCCTGTGCCAATTATTTTCTTCCAGGGACTGTGGCCTTCGTGCATTTTCTTGCGTTTCTTCTAGAAGCTAGGATGAACTTGTTTGTTTGCAGACTCAAGGGTGCTTGCGCAATTTTCTGTGGGCAGCCCACCTCAGCAGCGCGCAAGAGAGGCGATGGGGTGGGAGCAAAGTGGGGTTTCCTCTGCCGGACCGCATCTGCAGATTGGTCGATGAAATCAAGGCGCATGTTCGGGACCTACAGTGCTGCGGTCCGGAAGTCTATACAGTTTTTCTCCAATCAATAACTGTATTTTTCCTGCCCGAAGAACTGAAATAAAAAGGTGACACGGCTCTTACACCTTGTGCCTGTACAAGTTGGAAGCGGCGCGAGCTGGGTGCCGTGGAAGGCAGTCCATCGGCCACTGCCAAGTGGGTGCCACGTACTCTGCCATCCCGATTCCTGCTGCTTCTCTAGATGCCTGCTCGGCGCCCCCGAGAACCTTAGGTCGCGCACTGGCAGAGACCTATCGAAGCCACAGGAGCCAAACCGCAGCCAATAGCAGTCGTCGTGATTGCTCGTCTGTCACGAATGTTGACGCAAGCCACGCATTCAATTGAAGCCTCCACATAATTGGCAGCTCGCAAAGCTGGGAGGAGCGGGATTCGTTGGCTTGTGGCACATGTTTGTCGGACTAGACTGTTCAACCCTCGTTTCGCTAAAGCGACAGTCACACAACAAGCTAACATAATACGCCGACAACATACCACTGCTAGTGTAAACGATAAAACAGAAAAAAAAAAATCAAAATACGTGATTCATTGTCAACATTGAGTCTAATCACTCACTGAGAATTCACTGCAAAGGATGTCAGTGGCAGACCAGACGGATAGAGCCTAAAACTGGGGAGGAACGGCAGAATGCAAAAGAGAGGTAAAATCCTTGCCGGCAAAAGGAGACGTCCACTCCTGTACATTGCTGCCTCCCGGACCTCCACTCAACTGAGAAACATCCGACCCAGACTTCTGCTGCCATCCTGCTGTTGCTGCGGTCCGTTGCTGCTGGTCCCCTTGGGTTTCAGCTGCGGGGCCCGCTGCCTGCTGCCCAACCTCACCCGCCTCATGCTCCTCCCCACCCTGCCCACCTCCTTGCTCCATACCCTTGCGCTGCTCCTCATGCCCACCTTCCTGACCATCTTGCCCCCCCTGAACAACTTCTGTCTTCTGCGCCTCACTCCCCTTCTCCTGCCCCTCCACTGCATCAGCAGCCTTCTTATCCCCGCCCCCATTAACCTGCTGCCCTGCCCTCGCCTCCGCCACCCCACCTGTGTGCTCCTTAGTGCCCCCTCCATCCCCTTCCTTGCTGGAATCTGGCTGCCACGGGACGCCCTGTTGCTGCTGCTGCTGCTGCCAGGCAGTGCCCACAGAGCTTGGCACGGCAATGGCAGAGCGGCCCCACAGATCATACGCCCTAACAGGCTCCGAGCTTGAAGGCATGCCCCCTGCACTGCCCCCCCCAAGACCGCCCAGAGCCCCACTGGACACGCTTTGATCAGCAAAGCCAGACGTCCCACCACCCCAGATCCCCATACCCCCTCCCAGAACCCCTCCCACACCAACTTTCCCTCCGCTGGCGTTTGAAAGGGACCCCGACACACTCCAGTCTACTGAACGAATGCTACTGACCAGAGCTGCCGTACCTGAGCCGGTCGCCACTCCCCCAGCAGAAAGCAGCCCGCCTGTAGCCACAGCCACGGGCCTCCCAAACGCACCGCTACCTCCTGCGCCCGGCACACCAAACCCTCCCGCGTTCAGCGCCCCAGCTGCAGCAGCCCTTGCAGGAGCATCAGGCGCAGGAGAGAGAGTTGAGAGGGAGGCCAGTGGCGCACCGGACAGGCTCCAGTCAACAGAAGCAAGAGTGGTGGACGCGCCCCAGGGTGGGATCAATTCGGACGACGGGCCAGACGAGGCACCAGAAGCAGTGGACTCCAGGGGGACACTGCCTACACCCCCCATCTGTCGCGACCCAATCGCCACACCAGCAGGCCCGGCCCTCTGCTGCACGTACGGCTGACCAGGAGTGAAGGCCACAGCGCTTGCAGCCAGCCCCATGGGAAGACCAGAGGTAGGGTCCAAGCCTGACTTGCCAGACAGGTCAGATCCATCCGGGGTCTCACTGAACGGGCTCCAGCCCCCAGACATGTTCGTGCCTACTCCTCCTGCTGCCCCAGACACCCCCCTGACCTGCCACGCGTGCTGTGCCTGCTGCTGCTGCTGCGCCAGCTGTGCCTGCTGCGTTCCGGGCTGCTGCTGCTGCTGACCCTGGTCATGATGCTGTGCTGCTAGCAGGTCTCCCTGCTGACCCGGAAAGATGCTGGGCGCGGAATGAGTAGCAGGCAGACCCGCACCAGCTTCCATGGGCCCCTTCCAAGTTCCATCGGACAGCGCGTGCGGCCCACCAGCCAAAACCGCGGGCCCACGCGGAATGGCACCCGCAGCGGACCAACCCAGAGAAGGCGCCTGCATCATGGGGGCCGCGGAGTGGCGCACATGCGCACCACCTGCGACGCCCAGGCCGCTCAGCAGGCCGAAGGCAATTGGAACACCCGCCGTTGGCAGCAGCGCGTTTGAGTTGCTTGCAACACCAAACCCGGAATTCAGATGCTGCGAACCACTAACCAGTGGCCTTAACTGCTGCTGCTGCTCCTGCTGCATTGGCGGAAGCGGCTGCTGCGGTTGCTGCGGCTGATACTGATGCTGTGACTGCTGCTGCTGCGGCGGCTGCTGCTGCTGCGGCTGTGGCTGCTGCTGTTGCTGCTGCTGCTGCTGCTGCTGCTGCTGCTGCTGCTGCTGCTGCTGCTGCTGCTGCTGCTGCTGCTGCTGCTGCTGCTGCTGCTGCTGCTGCTGCTGCTGCTGCTGCTGCTGCTGCTGCTGCTGCTGCTGCTGCTGCTGCTGCTGCTGCTGCTGCTGCTGCTGCTGCTGCTGCTGCTGCTGCTGCTGCTGCTCCTGCTGCTGCTGCTGCTGCTGCTGCTGCTGCTGCTGCTGCTGCTGCTGCAGACTAGCTGCTTGAGCTGCCACAAAGTTACCTGGTGGAGGACTCACTCCCGGCGTCCCTGAAAGCCCACCCTTGGCAATGGAAGACGGATCCTGCGCAGTTACCACCTGGTTAGTCCCTGCCTGGAAGCTGCTCACACCCATTCCGCTAAGTTGCGAGGACACTGCAGCTAACTCCGCGGCAGCCTGCTGCGTGTGCGCGTCAGGTGAGCGCCTGACCTGCCCACCCGGACCCGCTCCAGACGCCTGACCAAGACCCGCAGGTATTGGCCCCTGCGGCTCTTTCTCGACGTTCTGCTGCTGCTTTTGCTTCTCAGAAAGACCGACGGTACCACGGGCTGTGCCAGCATCCTCCCAAGACTGACTCTGGTTCTGCTGCGGTTGCTGCTGCTGGGATACGACGCCCGCTTGCTGCCGCCCCTGCGTCGTGGCAGGCGACTGCTTCTTTTCCTGCTTTTGAGCGCCCTGCACTTGCGCCGGTTCGTGCGTATTCCGCTGCTTCTGCTCGCGTTGCTTCTGCGCTTCCTGCGACGCTTGCGCCTGCTGCTGCGGAATAGGCTGCGGTTGACGCGAGTGCTGCTGCTGTTGTTTCGTTGCGGGGCCAGGCTGCTGCTTCTGCTGCAAATGCAGCAACGAGGCCTGCTCCCCTGGCGGCTGGGCGTGAGAATGCTGCGGCGCCTGATGCTGCTGGACTTGCAGCGGCGGCTGAACCTGCGCCTGTCGCTGCTGCGAGTATGGCCCTTGCGGTTGGGAAAGGCCTTGCGGCTGCGACTGCGCGAGCATCTGCTTCTGCTGAGCCTGGGTCTGCATGAGCATTGCCTGCTGTTGATGCGGCTGCGGATGCTGACCGTAGAGCTGCTGTGCACCATGAACCTGCTGCGCCTGGTGCGGCACCTGCTGCTGCGGAGCGGACTGAGCCAGGTGCGGCGGCTGCACATGGTGCTTCGCAAATGCGGCCTGCGGGTGACCTCCCAAGCCCATCCCCGCACCAGCTCTGATTGCGTACGGCCCGGCGTTTCCGACCATCTTTCCCGAATCTACTGACCCCTGCTGTAGCGGCCGGTGCGCGGACGATCCCATGCCAGGAAGCACGCGCTGCTGCTGCTGCTGCTGCTGAGGGAGATGGTGCGTCGCACCACCGACGTGCTGGCCGTTGACATAGCGCCTATCGTCCTCTCTATCTTGAGCATTCCCCATCAGCCCACTACCAGGCGGGCCAGGGTAAATGCCCGCCGCCATCAGCGCAGGCTGTCCGATTTGAGCGCCGGGATGAGCCGACGCCTGACCGTGACCATGCCCGTAGCCATAGCCAACAGGACCTGCTGGTCCGGACAACCCGCCCGTTGGAGGAACGCCTCTGCCTAAGAACTTCGTGGGGCCTGCGGACACGCCAACGCCAGCTATCACGGTACCTGCCTCCCTACGCTGCTGTTGCAGCTGTTGCTGCTGCAGCAGCTGCTGCTGCTGTTGCTGCTGTTGCTGCTGCTGCTGCTGCTGCGCTTGCTGTTGCAGCTGCTGCTGTTGCTGCTGCGCTTGCTGCTGCAGCTGCTGCTGTTGCTGCTGCTGCTGCTGCTGCTGCTGCTGCTGGGCCAACGTCTCGCGGTGCTTCTCCCGCAAAAACACAGCGGCCTTGTCCAAGTCCCCTTCGAACGCCACAACAGCGCGTTCGATGTCGGTCCTGTTGTACCCATCCACGCGCTCCATCTGCGCCATGCGCGCCAACTCCTCCGACACATCCAGCTTCAAATTCCCCACGGAGCTCGCGTCTCGAACGTTGCTCTCCTGCCCCTCGAGCAACCACGTGACCGACCGTTCCAGGTTGCCGTCGTTGCAGATAAGCGCAATCGTGCACTTGTCCTTAGGGAAACCCATAGCTACCAGCTGCTCCGCCAGACTCTCGAGCTTCCGAGCGGTGAGAAACCCAGTGCACTTGTCCCTCAACTCCTGAGCCTTCTTCTCCTTTTGCCTAAGGTGTTTCTTCTCGTTCTTGGCCCGTATCTTGTCCTTCTTGTCAGGGACCGCCACCGAGGCTTGCTGCTGTCCGTCTCGCGACGTGGCACCGGGCCCTTTCAACCCTGTTTGATCTTCCGACTCCCCTGAACAACTCCCGCTGTTGGACAGAACATCGCTCTCCTGAGTTCCTCCCGCCGTGTCATCCCCTTCTTCAAAAGACCGATACCGTCCGTTCTGCGAATTCCCTGAACCATCTGGGTTCACCCCGGCGATATTATGAAACGTTCCTGATATGGGATTGTATGCGCCAGCAGGAAACCCTGCTGCGGTTCCCCCCGCGCCTGCTTGTTTTGACGCCGTCTTCCATGACTCGCGGACGCCTGGCTTCTCTGCTGTCTGCCGCTCCTGAACTCCATACCGAATTTTTCCTGTGTTCCCAGCCATCCTGCACGACACCAACGGACAACAGACCGGCAAGCCTTGAAATTACGTGAATGATGAAAGCAGCGTGCGACAAAGGCGATACAGAAGCCGGATTTCGTAAACAAAGCGCATCAAGGCAGGCGTTAAAGGCCGGAAGGAAGAGCAGGAGGTATTATGTACAACAATGGAAAAGGACGGATTTCAAGACGGGACAGTGCTAACACTGAGGTCCTTCTGAAACATGGAAAAGATGAGAGAAGCCAGACTGGGTGAAAGAGGAAGGCAGATCCAAGTAGAATTTGACAAACTCCAGATCCACTACACGACAGAAGACATCGCAACTTCCGCAATACATCCTACTTTGCATCATCCATTAATAAGGATTTGAGAGTGCGAACCCACACTCGAGGCCTGCGTTGACAGGACGGTGGAGACGGACACGACCGAGAATCGAAAATACGAAGATCTTAGGAAAGTAAAATAGTGGACGCCGTAAGATTCTTATTAAATCAAAACAGACGAAGGCGGACGAAATGAAACTGGGATGAATCTAGGGTTAGAACTAGGGACGACGGTGAGAAATAAAGTACGGCAAAGGAGTGTCCTCGCACTGAAGATAGACACCAAGAAACTGCGACAACTAACCAGCTGGAAGGTGCTGTGACGCGGCTCCAGGTATCTGGATCTTCAGGGATTCCACTGTAAGGTTTCACAACCAGCACGTGCACTTATGGTCCTTAGTACCTAGTGCCTGATATGAGAGATGAATGGATGTGAAAGGTAGAGGGGACGTAGAGAGGGAGGTAAGGAAAGGAGGTTCAAGAGGGTAAAGTTGTGACGATGGCGACAGGTTCACATTTCGCTCGAGCAACTCTGCTTCGCGTACTCGGATATTGCAGGAAATCCTGTTAGCGAAAGTACGTTTTTCTCGCAGCACTCGGTGGCCCTGTGGGTTGACCAGGGTGCCTCTTGTGTGTGGGCTTCTGCAAGGGGAGACGAGGCAGGCGACCCACCGGAGTAGGGTTCCCGAATCCCAAGCCAATCTGCCGAACCTGGCGACATCCTCTGCAACTCCGACGTGCGAAAACAAGAGCCGAACGATGCTGGGTTACATATCGAATATTTCGTGCCCCTCGTCAACAGGCCAACCTTACATCCATGGCAAGGTGGCAAACTGATCTACAGCCAAGAAACCACCGCCCTTCAAACCAGACTGGGCTTAGGTTCCACGTAAGCACGATAAATCCAAGGGACAATCCACCAAGCACACGACACCGCTCCAAGCGACAACGCACACACTGAACGGAACTGCTTCAGCCCTAAACCCTTGCCCGGCTATTTCCTGCAAGGAAAAACAGTTGGATAAAGTGGAGGAAAATCCAGATCCATAATACCGTACCATAATCCCATGCACAATATAAAAAATAAGAGGTAACCAGACACTACCACATCCTGATTGCATGAAGAGGGAAGCCAAAGCATAGAGGACATGCCTACGGCTTTCCATCCATCCATAGCCCTATATCCTACTTCTGCGAAAACCTGGAGTTGAAACAATACTTTTCTACAAAGGACGACTAGGTACCTACAATGGACACACCCTGTCCTGCCCTTGAACAATCCATCCCACACAGGTCACTAAATGCCCACACACAGCCTTCACCGAATCCACCTGACCATCGCATATGCTTTGCAGCATTATACAAACAGAGCGTGCCCAGCTGAGGTACGGCAGAAGCAGGAACAGCCCCCCTCAGGGATGACCAGGCAATAACCACAGGTCACAACGGCGTGGGAATAGACACAGTCTCCGCACGCTGCTGTGGCACGTCCTCGTCAGACGACTCCTCTTCACTGTCATCCGACAGCGCCACCGCCCTGCGTTGCTGCACATGCGCTCGCAGCAGAGCCGCCGTTGACGCTCTCGACGACCCCACACTGTCATGCGATGGCTGCGATGCCACCACCACTGCATCATCATCCTCCTCCTCGTCATCATCTGACTCAGACCCATCATCCATGGCACTGCGCCTTCCAGCCATGGTTGCCGCTACCACCGCTGCTCGCGACAGAGAAGCTGCCCGCCCGCCTGCCACCCCTCCACCTTCCTCCTTCTCCTTCTCCTCCGCCTCTTCCTCTGCCATTGCAGCAGCAGCGGCCTTGTCGCCTCTACTAACGGCCTCCAGCAAGCCCTCTCTGCTGGAAGCTACGCGGCTGAGAAGCTCTGCCTGCTGCTGCTCCTTGAGCAGCTCCGCCTGCCTCTTGCGTTGCTCCTCCTCCGCTGCTTTCTTCTTGCGCCTCTGCTCCTCCTCCAGGGCCTTCTTCTTCTTCTCATAGTCCGCCACGTCTGCTCGGAACTTGGCGATGAAATCACTCAGCACCTCAGCAACTGCTCGCACGGAGAGGGCAAGACACGGGTGGGCAGATGACGTCTTATTTATACCAAAAGGACGGGCAAAAGTGGGGCGAGAGGAAGCAGAGGAGAACGGCGGAGAATGGAGGGAGCAACAGACCAGGACAGAAACTAGGGAGCGGAATGCTGGATTAGAAGATGATGGTGATCAGGAGAGGGAGGCAGGTGGTGAACTGGGCGAAGTGAACATACTGAGTGTGAAAGGAGCGGTCTTGGCATCTCCTCCAAAGTAGCGTGACAGGGAGGCTGTTGTCTCCTTCTGCACGTCCACCACACATGCATGGGTTGAGAGGGAGAACGAAGAGAGATATCGAGAGAGGGTGGATATGCATAAGCGGGCTGAGGGGTTGCTGAAAGAAAGCGGAGAGCAACAAAGCGCTGTGGAGAGGCATTGGGGAGAGGCATAGGGGAGAGGCATAGGGGAGAGGCATTGGGGAGAGGCATTGGGGAGAGGCATTGGGGAGAGGCATTGGGGAGAGGAATCAGAGAGAGGCAATGAGTGGAGAGTACCATTTGGGAGTGCAGGTCGTGCAGCTGCGACAGCACTGGCTCCACCTCATTGCTGATAAAAAACTCCAGGGCCTGCCATGCCATGAGGAAGGGGACAGCACGCACAGCACAGCCTCAGCTTGCCATAGACACCACAAGGAAAGCCCGGACTGAAACCACAGCCTGTTGCTACCGGTGAGAGATTCCCACCAATCTTTGAGAATTCTGAAGAGTATTTCACACGGAGCTCAACCCATGACAGCAAGCCCGGAACCTCATCCCATAGCTTTGGGTGTTTACTCCCAACGCCCTCCTCCGTACCTCGTGCATTGACGCCAATTCCTTGCCCTTATGATCTGCCTCAGCTGCCTCCTCTGCCCTCTTCGCCTTCGCCTCCTCCTTTTTCTTCCTCTCCTCCTCCTTCCGACTCCTCTCCTCCTCACTCAACCCTTCCACACTCCCCTCCTCCTTCTCCTCCCCCTCCTCCACTTCCTCCTCCGCCTTCCTCTCCGCATCCAGCTTCTCCCTGCGCTCTCTCTCCTGCTCCATCTGCTTGTCCACAGCAGCCAGCTCTCTCTTAGCAGCCGCAGCCTCCTTTTCAACCTCTGACACAGCCTCTTGAAGCGCGCCAAACTCCACCTTGCGTGCTTCTTCCAGCAGGTTCCGTGACCCCACAAAAAACTCCTTCCAGAACGTCAGCAGCTCAGGTTGCCCCTCGCCTAGGACCTGTGAGGAGGGGGCACGTTGAGTTGGGGTTGGTTGGGGGAGGAGAGAGGAGTCAGTGAGGTGAGGGAAGGAATTGGCGACTGGAAGTGTGCGGAGTGGCGAACGGAGAGAGGTGAAGGCTATGCGGAAACGAGCAGAGTAATGTGTGTGTTGCGCATGCGTGGGCGTGATGATGCGCACGGGCACATGCAGTGGTGTGTCCATGAGTATGCGTTTCTGTGGGGGGTGTCGAGGAGGACGGGGGACTCGGATGTGGCGGCGAGAGTGAGTGTGCGTGTAGTGGAAGGTGTGTGGTGTGGGCGCAGGTGTGGGCGCAGGTGTGGGCGCACGCACCTTGATGAGGTAAGCCATGAGGCCCTTGGTGCGCACCACCTGCTTCAAGTCCTTTGCCGCAAAGCCCTCCACTCGCCCTGCACTCACACGCATGCACGCACACGCACACATACACACACACACATGCACACATGCACACATGCATGCACACAACAAATGCATATGCATACGCACAGGCGTATGTGCACACATCCACACCCAGCCACAAACAGAAAGAGACACACACATGCCAACATGCACGGGACAACGCACAGTCACGTTAACAGGTAGACTATGAGGCGCATCCGTGCGTCATCCACCCACCCACCCTCCACACGACCCATGGCCCCAACACGCCCCATCCCCCACATGCCCCATGCCATGCCTCCACCCACGCCCCATGCCCCCCTCACAACCAATGCCCCCCCCACGACCCATGCGCCCAACCCACACCCCATGTTCCCCCCCACGCCCCATCCCCCCTCCACGCCCCATGGCGGCCCCTGTGCATAGCGAGCACACGCACCTTTGCTGGTGCCCTCGTTGAGCATGTTGCCTATCTTAAGAATCACCAGCAGCACCGTCTTCAGCAGCGTCGACTGCTGCACCTGGTGATGCACACGCCGAGAAGGGGGGAAGACAGAGAGAAAGAGGGAGCAATGGAGCATGAGAGTGAGTGACAGAGAGAATCAAGGGCTGGGGGGGTGGATGGGAGAACGCTAGGCTCACACACAGGAGAATCTGCAGCTCCAGGCGCAGGAGAATCTGCAGCTCCCAGGCGCAGGAGAATCTGCAGCTCCAGGCGCGGGAGAATCTGCAGCTCCAGGCGCGGGAGAATCTGCAGCTCCAGGCGCGGGAGAATCTGCAGCTCCAGGCGCGGGAGAACCTGCAGCTCCAGGCGCGGGAGAATCTGCAGCTCCAGGCGCGGGAGAATCTGATGCTCCAGGCGCAGGGGAATCTGCAGCTCCAGGCGCGGGAGAATCTGCAGCTCCAGGCGCAGGAGAATCTGCAGCTCCAGGCGCGGGAGAATCTGCAGCTCCAGGCGCGGAAGAATCTGCAGCTCCAGGCGCGGGAGAATCTGCAGCTGCAGGCACGGAAGAATCTGCAGCTCCAGGCGCGGGAGAATCTGCAGCTCCAGGCGCGGGAGAATCTGCAGCTCCAAGCGCGGGAGAATCTGCAGCTCCAGGCGCAGGAGAATCTGCAGCTCCAGGCGCGGGAGAATCTGCAGCTCCAGGCGCGGGAGAATCTGCAGCTCCAGGCGCAGAAGAATCTGCAGCTCCAGGCGCGGGAGAATCTGCAGCTCCAAGCACGGGAGAATCTGCAGCTCCAGGCGCGAGAGAATCTGCAGCTCCAGGCATGGGAAAATCTGCAGCTCCAGGCGCGGAAAAATCTGCAGCTCCAGGCGCGGGAGAATCTGCAGCTCCAGGCGCAGGAGAATCTGCAGCTCCAGGCACGGAAGAATCTGCAGCTCCAGGCGCGGGAGAATCTGCAGCTCCAGGCGAGGAAGAATCTGCAGCTCCAGGCACGGGAGAATCTGCAGCTCCAGGCGCAGGAGAATCTGCAGCTCCAGGCGCAGGAGAATCTGCAGCTCCAGGCGCGGGAGAATCTGCAGCTCCAGGCGCAGGAGAATCTGCAGCTCCAGGAGCGGAAGAATCTGCAGCTCCAGGCGCGGGAGAATCTGCAGCTCCAGGCGCGGGAGAACCTGCAGCTTTAGGCGCGGGAGAATCTGCAGCTCCAGGCGCGGGAGAATCTGCAGCTGCAGGCGCAGGAGAATCTGCAGCTCCAGGCGCGGAAGAATCTGCAGCTCCAGGCGCAGGAGAATCTGCAGCTCCAGGCGCGGGAGAATCTGCAGCTCCAGGCGCAGGAGAATCTGCAGCTCCAGGCGCGGAAGAATCTGCAGCTCCAGGCGCGGGAGAATCTGCAGCTCCAGGCGCGGGAGAACCTGCAGTTTTAGGCGCGGGAGAATCTGCAGCTCCAGGCGCGGGAGAATCTGCAGCTGCAGGCGCAGGAGAATCTGCAGCTCCAGGCGCGGAAGAATCTGCAGCTCCAGGCGCGGGAGAATCTGCAGCTCCAGGCGCAGGAGAATCTGCAGCTCCAGGCACAGTAGAATCTGCAGCTCCAGGCGCGGAAGAATCTGCAGCTCCAGGCGCGGGAGAATCTGCAGCTCCAGGCGCGGGAGAATCTGCAGCTCCAGGCACGGAAGAATCTGCAGCTCCAGGCGCGGAAGAATCTGCAGCTCCAGGCGCGGGAGAATCTGCAGCTTCAGGCGCAGGAGAATCTGCAGCTCCAGACGCTAGTGTGCAGGTGTGACGGGCAGATGCAGGATGTGAGGGAGAGTGTGAAGGTGATCTCAGATGTCATGCATGCGTGGAGTGGAAGTGCCAGCTACGCTGGTGGAAGGCAGCCGTGCGGTGCTGTGCAGTGCGGTCCTGTGCGGTGCTGTGCGTGGTGGTGAAGGTACCTTTTCTGAGACGGAGATCACAAACTGCAGTGTGTCTAGCAGCCCCTTGCTCTGTCACGAGGTACAACAGGGGGGAAGCAGGAACGAGGAAAGAACGAAGTGAGCATGCGAGAAGAAGAATGGGGGCACGGGGAGGGGGGTGACTGGTGGATGAAGGGCGGGAGACCGGAGATTGTATGAAGAGAGCATATGGATGGGAATAGGCAGGAAGAGGATGGTGGGGTCCGAACGAAACAGAGGGCACTGCTTGGGCCAGGGGAGGGCCAGGTCGAAGTGATGAGAGGGAGAGATGGAGGAAGGGGGATACAGACAAAATGGGACGGGTCGGGGAGAGGCAGATGCGGGGGGAGACGAGGGGGGCGAGAGGGAGGGGGGGGGGGGGGGACTGACCCGTTCGGAGAGGAAGATGCGGTAGCGCAGCACTTTGAGCTTCACCTCCAGACGATCCACTGGCAGCAGCAGCAGAAACACCTGCCCTCCCACAGGGGAAAGGGAAAGGGGGGAGGATGGGGAGGGGAAAGGGTGGGGAATTGTTGGAAGGGGAGGGATCGGGTCAGGTGGGTGGGGGAGAAGAGTGTGGGGAGATGCGATAAGTAGGTGGGAATCGGGATGTCGAGGACAGTAGGTGATGTGGCGACCAAGGGACGAGGAGGAGGAGGGGGAGGTGTTGTAGAAGGGCAGAGGAGTGAGACGAAGGTAGAGAGCCTGAACAGCGGTGTGTACGCAACGCACTCTTGAGTGTGTCAGGCTGGGCTCAACATTCTTTGTGAAAAACTTTCCCCCACTTCCCGCCCTCCTACCTCTTCCTCCCCCTTTCTTCCCCCACCCTTCCCAGTGAAAGGGTTCTGCTATGTGTTGTGTACCTGTTCGGCTGGCCCTAGCTCATCAAAGTCGCCTTTGTACCCCTGCAAAAGCACAGCATACCGCACAGCACCACATCACATCACGCACACATCACACGGACGGTTTTTGAGGCGCCTCAAAAGTCACCGCCCAGCATCACAGCACACAGCAAACCAGAAAGGCACAGGTAGAAAGTTAGTCGGCACATAGTGAGCGCATGAGAGTGTGCCTCACAAAACCGAATGGTGAGAGTACTAGGGGGAGCAGAAGAAGCATGCGTGAGGGGCATAGAAGGTAGGGGCAGGGTTTAGAGGGGGAGGGCGGGTTTAGAGTGGGAGGGCAGGGGGGAGAGGGGGAGGGCAGGGAGGCGAAATTCGTGTCCACAGGGGGTGCTTGCGATAAGTCGCACACACACGGGTGGGGTAGCGTTTCTCAGGGGAAGGAGGAAGCAGGGAGAGGAGCATCTCACAAGAGTGCAGGAAGGAAACAAGTTGCGGGGTGCAGCAGAGGTGGTGCGGTGGGGTGTGGAGCAGCAGAGCAGAGCAGGTTACCTTGAGCAGCTTGTTCTCCTCGGGCGTGGGCTGGTACTTGAGCAGCGTCTCCACAAACGACTCTGTTGACTCGCCCAATGCTGCCGCGTCCAACGTCAGCAGACAGCGCTGTGTGGGGTGGGGGGGATGAAAGGGAGAGAGAGGGGTGGGGGAAGGGAGGGAGACGGGGAGGAGGGGTAGGAGGAGGGGGCGGGGTAGGGGTAGGGGCAGGGACAGGGGCAAGTCGATTGGCAAGGGGTGGGGCGCGGACGAGAGGGGATGGAGAGGCAGACGCAGGAAGGAGAAACGCAGGTGAAGTGGACGGAGGCACGGAGGGAGAGAGGCAGGGCGGGGTGGGAGTGGGAGTGGGAGTGGGAGTGGGAGTGGGAGTGGGAGTGGGAGTGGGGGTGGGGGTGGGAGTGGGAGTGGGAGTGGGAGTGGGGGTGGGAGTGGGAGTGGGAGTGGGAGTGGGAGTGGGACATACGACGAGGTCGCGGGGGTCCTTCTTGATGCTGCGCAGTGCGATCTCCATGTTCCGCCCCTTCTTCTCGTCCAGCTGCCATGGGGGAGCAGCCGCACAGCAGATGACGCGCGAAGGGAGGTGAGAGGTAGGCAGGAGGGATGGGGGGGGGACGGGAGAGGAGGATAACGGGACGATCCGCAACGAAATGATGAACACGGAGGCAGATCACACGGAGGGATGGGCATGGTGGTAGGGGCAGGGATGGGGATGAGGATGGGGATGGGAGAGGTCGAAAGAGGAAATTGGTGATGGGATCGCAAGGACAGAGCGTCCAAGTCGAATCTTGACTTTCTTGCTTTTGAGAATCGCCCAAAGAGGAAAGGGTGATGGGAAGGCGAGGGGAGAACGTACAAGGCGAATCTTGACTTTCTTGGGAGCAACGGTCTTGAGCGGCTTGGGTGCCTCGACCTTCTTGCCCTCAAACTCCTTCTTCAAATCTCCTATGTCTATGTTCACGCCAATGTCTCTGGTGGTGTGCGCGTGCACACAGATACACACATATGACACACACATGCGCTCATGCGCGCATACACACACAGCACAAGAACAAACAAGTACGCACGCATGCACACGGGCACACACACACGCACACACACGCGCACACACACACACACACGCACACACGCACACACACGCACACGCATACACACAGGCACACACACAAGCACGCTCGCACACACACTCACACGCACACACATACGCGCACACACATGGGGAGGCACGAACGGATGATTGAATGAAGGAAGGCAAGGATGCAGGACGTGAGTCTGCTTGCTCTATGCTACCATGCACCAACACCCCACCCACAGGTAAAAGTCACAAGAGGCACCAGCGACAGCAGAAGCCAGAAAGGACGACAGCACCAACCACACCATCCAGTCACACACCATACTCTATCCACAACCCCCACCTGCTTCCCTCTGTCCTTTCCCCACCAAGCCCCCCAACAGTCCGCACCCCAAGGCCCCTTCCCCCACGCCTCCCACCTTCCTCCGGGGGCACTCACAGCTTGCCCTTCCAGATGGAGTCATCGCCGGCATTCACAGGGTTCCAGTTCACTATGGCGCGCCCACCCCGCTTGCCCCCCAGGGGAGGTGGCGGGGGGAACTTCCCCTTGCCTCCAGGCGGGGGCGGGGGAGGGGGACCCTTGCCCTTGGGCATAGGCGGGGGAGGGGGAGGCCCCTTGCCCTTGGGACCAGGGGGTGGGGGCGGAGGAGCGGGTGCAGGTTTGTCAGGTAGAGCCGGGGGGGGAGGAGGGGGAGGGGGAGGAGGAGGGGGTGGAGCAGGAGCGGGAGGTGGTGGAGGTGGCACTTCTGGTTTCTTGTCCTCTTCTGATTTCTTGTCCTCTTCCGGTTTCTTGTCCTCTTGTGAACCAGGCCTTGCCCCAGCATCATCAAGTCCTTCGTCCTTTCTCTTCGCCCCTGCACTTCCTCGTGCCAATTTCTCCTTAATCGCTCGAATGCTACTGCCTCCGTCTCTGCCCCTTCTCAACCGCCCCTTCCCTCCATCACCCTTCACCCACTCCTCTTCCTCCTCTTCCTCCTCCCTACTCCCCTCGCTCCCCTCACCGTCACTCCCAGCCTCACCATCCCTGCTCCCCAGCTCCTTTATTCCCTTCAACTGCACCTTCCCCCTGCCACGTCTCACCCTTCTCCGAGCACCCACTGTACGACCCTCACCTCTCTCCCCCGTCTCCCTCTTCTCACCCGTCTCCTCCATTTCCCCCATCTCCTCCTCCGACCCTCCCTCCTCCTCCTCATAGTCCTCCTCCTCCTCCTCCTCGTCCTCCTCGCTCAACCGCCCCTCCTTACCCAGCTTGCCACTCAGAATCTTCTCCACCATCTCACCCACGCGCCCAGCCTCTATACTCTGGCTCACATCGTCCCGACTGCGTGCGTGCCTCTCGCTCTGCTTGCTCTCTGTGGCCCCATCTCCTTCCTGGGCTGTGGGTGGGGCGGGCATGGGCCTGGGCTTCACATTGGGTGTGTACTTGTTAGCCTGCCCCACCGCGCCTCGCACCACTGTGGGCTTGAGAGCAGGGTCTCGCTTCCAGAGACCAGCACTTAGTGCCGAACTCGCCCCACTCATCCTCCCTCCACCACTCCCCCCATCACCACTGCCATATCCGGCCCCACGAGCCCCATACCCGCCCCCACCACCCCCATACCCGCCCCCACCACCCCCGTACCCGCCCCCACCACCCCCGTACCCGCCCCCACCACCCCCATACCCGCCCCCATACCCACCCCCACCAGCAGCACTACTGCCAGCGCTGCTCCCAGCAGCACCGCCTCCTCTTCTCCCCCCACCCTCTGCTGCATCCCCCCCGCCGGTATAGCTCCCAGACTCCCCATCCTCTTCCGGCATGCTCCCTGCTGCCTCCCGCCTCCAATACGGCACATACGGCTTCCGCACATAGCCCTTAGGCACACGCACCCCCGCACCAGCCCCATACCTCCCGGCTGCTGAACCTGCCCCACCCGCACCTCCCCCTCCCGCACCCGCACCCGCACCAGACCCATCCCCTGCTCGTCGAAAAGCCGGGAGGGGGATGCGGACAGGTGGGTCGCGACCGCGCATGGGGGACATGGGGCGCCGCAGGCCCTCGCCTATTGACCCTGCGAGGGACTCATCCTCTAGCTCTGCACTGACACCATACTCCGAGTCACGCGCGCCCAGAGACACGTGGCTGGGCGGTGGCGCGTCCATATCCGCACTCACCAGCCAGTCTGCTACCTTGGCTACCACCTGTACTCTGTGCTCCATCTCTACACGCGTCTCGCCTGCACCACCACCACCACCACTGCCGTCGACGCCACCAGCAGCAGCGCCAGGGACTCCGCCCGGGACAGCAGTACCAACCCCAGGCCCCAACCCGGCACCATACCCATAGCCATACGTCCCACCAGCAAGTCCTCCTACCCCCCCCATGCCTGCTCTCCCTCCCGCTGCTGCTCCCGGCAGACCCAAGCCTGGCCTGTACCCCGTGTAGCTGCCTTGCCCTGCTGCACCGTACCCTCCACCCATGCCTGCCGCACCATACCCTGCACCCATTCCTGCCGCACCGTACCCCGCACCCACGCCTGCTGCCACTCCTCCGTACCGCCCTCCAACCCCTGGCACCCCTCCCATCCCCCCTGCAACACCACCACCACCACCAGCGTCCCCAGCTCCGTATCTATCCATACCGGCAGCACCAGCACCATACGTGCCTGGACCCACTCCCCCATACGGCCCTGAACCCGCCATGGCGGCCGCGTTGGCCCTCTGCTGAACCACCAGGTCGTAGTAGCTCCCACCCATGGGCCCTCCAAGCCCATTCAACGCGCCTGCTGATCCCTGTCGGGCAATGGGTTGAGCTCCCGCTCCTACTCCCCCGCTCAGAACACCCCCCGAGCCTTGCCGTGCAAGCGGATACGCAGCCGCATAGTCTGTCCCGCCACTGCTGCTGCCGCCACCAGGCCCGAACGCGGCCCCCACAGAAACGTCCCTCACAAAACTCCCGTCACGCACACCCCGCCACCGCTCTCCACCCCCTGAATCCCCGTCCATACCCATCCCCTGCTCGTCCCGTCTCTGCCCTGGCACGTAACCAGAAACTTGCCCCGAAACCAGCCCTGGTACTTGCCTATACGGCTGCTGCCCATACGCTTGTCCATACCCCTGCCCGGGGATTCCTGTGACCAGCCCTGCTCCAGGGACCGCCCCTCCTCGTGACCCTTCCGACCCATCCATACTGCCTGGCCCAGGGCCATAATCCCTGCCTCCGCCACCGCCCTCCCTTGCACTGCCCCTCCTGCTCCCACTTCGACCGCTGGACGCAGGGGAAGGAGGCCCGTCGTCTCTCTCCCTCTCGCCCACACCAGCATCTGCGCTGCTCAGACCCCTTGCTGCAGCCGCAGCAGCCGCCGCTGCTGCAATGGTGCCTGGGTCGCCGTCAGCAGGCAGGCCCCACACCACGCCTCCTCGCCCTTGCACCGTGTCTCCCTCCCCTCTCCCCGTGTCCCTCCTCGCATCACCCCGCTCCAGTCTCTCCCTCTCCCTCTCTCGCTCCCTCTCCCGCACTCTCTCCCGTGCTGAAACCGACGAAGAATCATCCTCTCCTGGTTTCTGCACCAAGCTAAGTATCCCACGTCTAGGCCGTGCACTCCCTGCACCTGCCACTCCAAAGCTCCCACCAGCACCAGCACCGGCACCACCAGCACCACCAGCAGCACCAGCAGTACCTACTGTAGCGCCAGCAGAGCTCTCACCGCTCTGCCCGCGCCTCAGTCTGTCCATGTGCGATGGGGGTGGTGGCAGAACCCCTTCATCTGCCCCTCCACCTGCCACCCCGCTTCTCTCTGGATACCCCGCCCCTGTGGGCCCAGAGAAGAGCTTGGGCAGCGGCGGAGCAAGCAGGTCTTTTTCCAGTCCTGAGCGGTCCGCCACACCTGGTGGCAGTGGCAATGCGCCTACTCCTGCCGCTCCCGCTCCTGCTGCTGACGATGTCGCCCCTGCTCTGCTGCTGCCCCCTACGCTGGACGCCCCATCTGCGTCACTCGCACCGCTGTCGAACCCTCGCACCTTCATCCTCTCCCTCACGCGCTCCTGTGCCCTCTCCTTCCTCAGCTCCCTCTCCCTCTCCTTCTGCCTCCGCTCCTCCTCTGACCCTTCCCTCTCTCTCCCCCCCACCTCTCTCTGCGCCCGTTCCTTCTCCTTATCCCGCTTCTCTATGCGTGCCTTGGCCCTCTCCCGCACCAGCTCCCGCATCTTCTCCCGCTGCCTCTCATGCTCCCGCAACCCACCCCCCACGTCCTGCCCACCAGCAACACTCCCCGCTGCAGACGACCCCCTTTCCACTTCCTTCTCACTCTCACTCTGGCCCATACCAATCCGAGCCTCGTCCGCTGCACCACCAGCACCGTCCCTCGAGGCATCAGAGGCGTCTCCTCCCAACGGCTCTCTAACCCCTTGCCGCGCTGCTCCCAGCTCCAGCTTGCCCCGCACAGTGCCAAGGTCTGAGAGCTCGTCCCAGCGAGGCCCTGACCCGCGTGAGAAGGACGACTTCACAGGCACGGGACTCACCCCCCCGTCTGGCGGACCGTCCCTTACCTTTATCGGGTCATCCGAGGCACCCTCAACAACCAACATGCCAAACGTTGGTGACCCCGTCAGTGTCCCTTCCTCCTGCAGCTGGGGTAGCTGTTGATGTTGCTGCTTCTGCTGTTGTTGCTGCTGTTGTTGCTGCTGCTGCTGCCGTTCGCGCTCTGCACTCTGCACAGCCTCCTCTGCTATCTCATCAAAGGACAGGGACGCAACAGAGGAGGACTGTCGGACCACTCGTGATCTCATCAGTCTGGGAGTGCCTACAGCCTCCTCCCCTGCACCTGCGCCTGATGCCGTGACGCCAGCAGTGGCGGCAGCAGAATCCACAGTGTACCCAGATTGAGAAGACGCGCCACTGGTCACACCCACCATAGCACCCCCTCCAGCGGTAGTGTTCATGCCGCCAAGAGCGGGGCGGTAACCCGGATGTTCCGAACCACCAGCAAGAGCAGGATGGGCAACATCCACACCGCTACCAGTTCTCCGTACAGCGAATCCCCCTTCAGCCCCGCTTCTTTGCCTGGGCGTGTGAGCTCCATCCTTCTCCCTCCCGTACTGCCCTTCCACAACAGCCACAACCGAAGCCTCCACGCTGTTCCCTCCGCCTGCTGCTGCACCCGCCGCGTCCCTGGGTTCACTCAACCGCCCCCCCGGGCGCCTGTGGCGGGAGTAAGCGGCAGCAACGGCTCCCGCAGCTGCTCGTGCAGGGGACACGAGCGACTGAGAATCTTGCCCGATGAGATCGTTGGTCCGGGGCGTGCTGCTACCGTCTGATCCTCGGCTTGCCCTGCTGCCCCCCGGCCCTCCCCTGCTCTCTGCAAACCCGTCCTCCATGCTTCCCCCTGCTTGGGAGTCGCCAGAAGGGGATTGTTTCACCCACTGCTGCGGCGGCGGCTGCAGCTGCGGCGGCGGCGTTAGTTGGTCGTCTGGTGGCACCTGCACCCTCATTTGTAGCTGCCGCTGCAGCCGGGGTCGCTGCTGGGCCTGCTGGGCCGGCTGGGGCAGCGGTGTCTGCTGCTGCTGCTGCTGCTGCTCCTGCCACATCGGCCCTGCTTGCTGCTGTTCCTGCTGCTGCTGTAACTGCTTCTTCCTCTCCTTCTCCCTCTCCTTCTTCTTCTTCTTTTTCTTCTTCCGTCGCTTCCTCTTCTTGTCCTCCCCATCCACGTCCTCCCAGTTGCTACCCACGGGAGCGAGCCCTTCAAGCAGGTGCGACCCCACGAACGACCCAGCAGCAGCATCTTCCGCGCGGTTCAGCGAGAACGACGACTGGGCGTCATCGTCCAACTCCCCCCCGAAATCCACCGACCCCCCTCCCCCCTGCGCCGCTCGCCTCGTCAGCGCCGGCAATCCCAGGGAAGTGGAAAGCTCTGCTGCGGGCCCTAGGATCTTCTCCACGTCTAATTCCATCCCTTGATTTCCGAATAGCCCGCCGTCGTCTTCGTCTGCCGCTCCTCCCAACTGCATGTCAGCGGCACCGGAAGCTCCTCCTAAGTTGGGCAGGAGGTCGTTGTTCGCGTAGCGCCGGGAGCCTGATAGCTCTGCCAGGAACCCTAACTGCTTGAAACGGGGAGAGGACGGGGGGGAAAGCGAGCGCAGGGCCATGCGGAGAGCGTGAGAAAAGAAACGGAAACGGCAGACGCAGGTCATGCAAAAGGAAAATGAGAGAGTCGAATATGGCTTAGTATGCAGAAAAACGCTTGTTTAGAAAATTAGTGCGATGGACTGGCGTTCCGATTGCTCAAGGCGAAACGGAACGAAAGAGAATAACGGGAGGTAACGGCTTGGAAACTAGGGCTTGTTGCGCTGCTCGAACTAATCGCCAAGCCAATAGAGCAGCTGATCAAGGCCTCTATGCCACATCACCCTCTCCTCCACTCCTCACGCCCTACAATACCTCACCTTGATCGGTCCCGGAGGCTCCGGCGGGGGCGGCGGAGGAGGCGCGTTGGACGGCTGCGGTTCCACCTGCACTGGGCCCAGCATGCTTAGGAAGCGGCGGAGCCCGGTCTCCTTGCGCACTACACCGCGCTGCATGACTGCAAGCCCTTGTCGCGGACGAAACGACCTGGATAAATACTTCTACTTCCTGGCCGGACTCGAGCTGCGACGGGAGGACTACGAGGTGACTGCTACTGCGCGTGATTTGCTACGAATGGCTATATGACGACGAGTCATTATTCCTAGAGCTACTGTCAGATGGGTTTTGAATTAGAAAGACGCTACTGTAACGCCTACGATTTCTCGTAATTGTCCGCTCCAGTTTCGTGCACCAACACGTTATCTCACGTTTCCCCCTCATGGTTCAAATCGACCTGCTAATGTGCCAAAGAGCTCCATCTTCAGGGTAATTAACATATCGCCGAAACGCCGTTTCCCCCAAAATGAAATATAAAAAGTTGAGGTAGGTCGTGCGCATGACATGAGACCAGCAGTCCCGACGAAGCCCAAATTGTGAGGTCCGGCGGATTTAGTACTTTCCAAAAGCGATGGCTTGCACAGTAGACCTAAGCTGATCTGACCTAAGGCATCGCAAAATAAGAATGGCAAACGGTCCGCGAAAGCACACCAGGAGCTAAATATATCTCGCGGTCGGGACGGTGCTTTCGATGATAGTTACCACATGGCACTCTGACGTCCTCACTCAGTCGTGAAAGCACATCGGGAACTGCGGTTTTGGACCTTTGACTCTTTTGAGACGTTCTGCCTTCCTCTCCTGCTTGCTCGCAGGACAAAGAACGAAGTGTATTGTACTTGACTCCTCCCAAGTTGCCACTGTTCCATACTTACCTCCATCCCATCCCATCCCCCAACCATCCAACCTCCCATTATTACTTGTGGAGTTTCCAAACAGCACACCGATACAGTCGCACAGCCGTGACTGGTGAGTGGGTGTGTGAGCAGCTCCCCCTCGTTACAGTGGCTCCACTAGTGACGGTGCGATGGAGGAAAACATTCCTACACCCCCCTGCCAGCCGTCAAACTGTTAGCGTAGGCAAGATGGACGCTGGCTGTCCAACCAATAATGTGCAGAGTAACTGACTCTGACATGCAAATACAATAACTGAGGTGTATTGCATCGCGTACAGGCGAGATCTCCGCAACCAAAGCCTGCGGATTCTGGGCCCTTCCGCCCGTGAATTCTGATGCGACCTCGTTCCGACACTTGGGCCCTGTTTGGCAGGCATCATGGCCATTATGGCCACAAATAGGCATTTCTAACGGGCCCCCAAAAAATGCCGCCTGGGCATTTCGAGAAACTGCATCGAAATCGGATTGTAGCTGAAGTGCACATTCGGAAAAACGGGGCCGAGTGTTTGTTTGGCATTATCTGGGTGTAGATTGATGGCATTTATCGAAATTTCGGGTTTTGCAGAAGATGGTGAGCAGTTGCCATGATGGTTCGCGTGATCATGTGATTGGCTGGCATATTTGACCAGTCACTTTTGATTGCCCCGAATCACTGATACCCCGCATAGTGCGTGGCCTCGAGGCCGCATGGTGCGGGGGATCAGAAAATGGGCACTTAGCCAGAGAAATTCGTTTGGGTGTAGATTCCGGCGGTTGAAAACGCCTGCAAAAAAAGGGGTGTTTGGTTGGCATTCCATTATTGTCAGGTTCGGCGTAGTCCGCTTATATCGAGCCTTGAAAGCCTTTAACGCGCTTATCAGTGAAGGCTCCATGGTGGTCGAATCACTGTAGCCCAACCCCCTCGCCCGTTTTTTTTATGCCTGCCAAACCGGGCCTTGGCCCAGCTCCCCCGAGGTTATCGCCCAGCAGCAAGAGGCTACAAACTTAATTAGATTCGTTTGTAGTGTAACAGATCGTTTGTGGCGAAAGTTGGCGAGCTGTTCTTGATACACACTTGGTGTAACTCCGCCCAACTCCAGTGCGCTGCTCTTGACCTATCTGGCAGGGAGCCCAAGTCTGAATACCCGGCGGAAGCGCTTCCGCTTGCAAAATCCCCAGGTTCGTGTCAGACTTTCCGCAAGCCGCAGCGTTGGCGCCATTTCCAAACTGTAGCTGAGAGGTTTGCGTAAATGAAACTATTGTAACGCGAGAAACGAAAATATGGTCTCTAAAAATTGCGACGAAAACACTTGAACTCTTCGTTGACAAAACTCCACCAGTGAAACGTTCGCGAATTGTCCCGTCCCGTTGCTCCCTCCCTGCTTTTGGCGAAGAGGATCCGCGCGGGAACCGAAGCGCAAAGCCACTTTCCGCGACTGATTTTGGGTTCCCGCCTAGCTAGGTTGGCCCACTATATTAGCGTGTGCCTTCATTGTATTGTCAATTCATTGAGTCACATCTTCGTTATTCGTTATTCCGCGCACTCTCTTTTACAACTCTTAACACCTGGTGGGACCAGAGTCAACAGCTACCTCGACAAGCTCGACCGGGTCTACCTGGGAAACACGTGAGAGAGCAGCACCCTGGGGAGGGAGGGGGTCTACCGACGGGACACCTGGGGTGAGGAAGAGCGGCGGGGGGGGGGGGGGGGGGAGCGGGGCAGCTAGGTTGCGTGCACCGAATTCTGGCTTTTCGGTTGCCACCGAATTGCGTTCTACCGAATTCGGGAAGGATCTGTTCGGGACGCTTCGCGACCCGCGGAACCTTCGCGTAACACCTGGTTACGGGGCCTTGTGTCGAGCCTATATATAGCCTCGTGTTGTACCCAGGTGAACATTCAATTCACATTCTCTTTTCTGAGCTCGATCCTAGATCCTCACACCAGGATCCGTCGAGCACGGTTGCAGTAATCCGTCGCCGACTCCTGCTCGCCCATCCGAATGTGAGTCATCTTCTCCTCCAGCTGCCCGATGTACAGGTCGTCCCTGACCTGGTACGTCGACATGATGAAGTGCCATGCCTGGTGACTAGCATCGAGTTGCTCTCGACAGCTCCTGAGCGCCAGCTGCACCACCGGTGAGCAGCACCTCGAGATGACCATGAAGGTGAGCAAGTGAGCCGCTTGAAACTCCCCGCGCAGCTCGACATCGTCCACGGGCGGAATTGGCACTGTGCCGTCGGCGAAGCCCTTCAGCCCGGCGACCTCCAGCTGAGGCTCGATCGACTCCCTCCAGGTGATGAGGTCCCGTCGACCTTGCAGTGGTGCGATGGTGATCCGGTCCGACGAGAACTTGAAGTAGCCATACGCCGGTGCAATCCCGCCTGCCGTCATATGCGTCGTCGCCGAGTGCCCTCCACCGCTCCGTAGAGGAGAGCGACGTCGAACATCGACTCCAATAGTTCGTGTTTTCCACTCATCGGAGGGCCACGGATACCCCTCTGCCCACCAGACGAAGCGTTCGACTCATGGACCAGGAGACATTGAACAAGATGCTGGCGCAAATGGCAGAGCTACAGGTAACAGTGAAGACTCTATCAGCAGAAGTGACAACACTACGAGGAGAAAACGCCGAGCTACGCCAGACGCGAGGTGAAGCGCGTCAGGAGTCGCCCGATAAAGAAGGCGAGGGCAACAGTCAAGCGGTGAGCAACCCGTTGGATGCGCTCACACGTGATTTCGAAGAAGAGGATAGGCAGCGAGCGGCAGCGACGCCAATTGCAGTAACAACGATCGAGATTAAACCCGTCAACCCGCCCCCGTTCAACCCTACGGACAAGACTACTACAGTGAAGGGGTGGCTTTTCGGCGTTGAAGTCTTCTTCACTGCAGCAGGCGTGTACGACGATGCCACGCGTATTAATTACCCGGTTTCGCTTCTTCGAGGCGCAGCGCTTGAGTGGTGGCGCCAAACCTTGGACATGGGGACCCCGACAGGTGTGACACATGCGGCAGACGGGACTTCAACGACGGTTACTCAAGTGGCAGCTCCGATATTCGGCGTGACCAAGATACGCACGTGGAAGGAGTGGGGCGCAGCCTTACGAGATCGCTTCGAGCACATATCCGGCTCGGAACAAGCTCGCATGAAGCTGCGTACCTGGTCGCAGTTGGCATCTGTCCAAGACTACACAGCAAATTTCATGACCCTCGCCGACCAAGTGGACGACATGTCGGAAGCGGAGCGGTTAGACAAGTACGTCAGCGGCCTTAAATACGAGATACAGTATGAGGTGCGCCGATGCCGCCCGACATCGTTCTTGGAAGCAGCACGGTTGGCAGAATCCACGGACGCGCTGATGCAGTACGCGAGGTCGAGTTTCCGGGAGGGAAATCGTTTTCGCGGCCAGACCCAACGGGCCACGATCAACGAAGTCCATGCACCAGACCGCCCCTACACAGGGTTGTGTTATAAGTGCGGGAAGCCGGGTCACAAATATGCAGACTGCCCCGAGAGAACGCCGGCGAAGAGGAACGACGGGAAAGAGCCGGGAAATGGGAAGAGTCAGTAACAGACGGGCCCCTTACTGACTGTGCTCTGTCGCACGAACACCATCATCCCCACCGAGTCGTGGTTCCGATTCATGCAATCGATCGCACTCGGCCGAATAACGGGGATAACCATGTGGATCACCCTGTGCTGGTCGTTGGCAAAGTGTTAAAAAACTACTTGAAAATGTTCGTCGACGGAGGGGCCAGCCATAGCCTCTTCAACTTGGCGACAGCAAAAAAATGCAAGCTGCAACTTGACAGGTGTCTGCCCGAAATCAACGCTCGCCTCGTGGATGGGACACCTCTGGCG